GGGTGTGGGTGTCCCAACCGGGGTATGTGAGGGTCCCGGGTGGGGTATGTGGGGTCCCGGGTGGGGTGTGGGGGTCCCAGGTGGGGTATGTGGGGGTCCCGGGTGGGGTGTGGGTGTCCCAAATGGAGTATGTGGGGGTCCCAGGTGGGGTATGTGGGAGTCCTGGGCAGGGTGTGGGGAACACAGACATAGTGGTTCCACAGTTTGCTGGGATTTATTTGCATTTTGGGAGCCCACCTTATCCCCCGGCTCGTCCAGGCCTGTGTCAGTGGTGTCCAGGCTTGGGCTGTTGTAGCCCACTTGCCATCAGGCTCTGCAACCGCAATCTCAAATATTGGGGCAGAAAGGGATTTCGGGATTTCGCCAGCCCTGCTTGGGTGCCGCTGGTGTTAGCAGTGATAAATGCTGCTTATCGCTACCGGGCAGGCTTGTGGTGCTGCAGGACGGAGCCTCTACTTGCCTGCCGCTGCTGTGGGGAGTTTTCTTTTCCCCTCCGTCCCACAAAGGGCACTTCAGCGAAGAGGGAGGATTGAGGAATGGTGTCAGGAGAAAGAAACAGTGGTAAAAGAGATGTGTGAACATGTCATTGTGTTTCTGGAAAGCTTAGGAAGCTGTATTTCGCTGCCTTTGAAGACTTAGTAATTTTTTTTTAACGTAGGCTCTTGCGTGTTGCCCTACTTCTAGGGAGGCTGGGTGAATTTTGCATTTGACAAATAAGTTCATTGAGTTGTCTTGGATATCTGAAGCTTGCAGTTTTGTCAGGGTTATTGGGAACGTGAGGAGGGGAGGTCTGCACCGGGGAGACCTTCACCCACAAGGCGCTGGTCTGGGGTGTCCCCATCATCGGTCTGGGGAAGAGGCATCCAAGGGGTCTGGAATACTTGGGAAGAGAAAAGCTGAAGCATATGTGTCTGCCTGTGCATGCTGTGGAAGGGATGGGAGGCTATCTTTGTGTTTCCCCACGTATATAAATCTGAGTCAATTCTTGTGAGGGGCTGGATAAACAGTCTGATCTCTTAGAGCAATGCTGCCTGCTCAGCGATTTAATGGGAAGGTAACAAAAATGTTAGCAGCAGACTACAGGTTTTGAAAAATAAAAGGATTTAAAAATCATTGTTTCCCATTGTTAGTATTTTGGTTTCTTTGAGGATGAAATCTGGAGGTAAAGTTCCATTCTCTGTGTCTGTGTGGGTTCTTTGCCTTGTTTCACTTTAATTTTTGTGGATTTCTGCCATTCAAAAATACTGTGATAGCCTGTGTTGTGTTGCTAGAGTTGTACTGATTGGGAATTAAGGGGTTTAAAAATCCACTTGTAGATAGGAAAATGTTATGTGCAGTTTGGAGCTTTTATAGTGAAGGATGAATAAAGAAAAGGAGTTGCTTCCCCCCACGCTCCTGTGTTTTGACTGAAGCTGTTGGTTGGTTTGTTTAGGGTTTTTTTGAAGCTTCATGTTTAAAATACTTACCTGATAGGAATTTACAGATTTATATTCCTACTTTAAGAGCTCTGTTGTAGGGTAACTGCTTCATTTTCCTTGTATTTATTTTTTGTGCAGTGTATCACATATATTACATTTTCTTACTGTGTTACCCAAAGTATTAAGGCTAGTTGCACGAACCTAGGTGGTAAAGCGCTTCTGCTATTGAGAACAACAGAAATATCTGCAGGTGCATTTAAATCCATTGTGGAAATAAAAAGGAGTAAGAAACTATATTAAAATAGCATGCTAATCGTAGTCAACAAATCTATATATTTTAAACATCTGGGGTCATAAAGGTTTCTCTTGTCTAGGAAGTGCATTTGGTCATTTTAAAGCATACAGTCAGCTAGCTATAAATGTTCTTTTAGCCCCCAAGTAGTATCTTGGGCCTTACAGACTGCTTAATTTATCATGCCCATCTTTTTTTTTGTTTGTTTTTTTTTGTTTTTAAAAAGGAGACTGTTCTAATTTTGTCTGTTTATTCTTAATTCTCCTGTCAGTATTGTTATTTTGAGATAACTGGAATTAAAATGCTTTCTTTAAAAGAAAGTTACTTCTGATGTTACTCCTATCACTATATGGTTATCAAGTTCAGTGGTTTTCTGTAGCACTTCAGATAATCTCACAAATGACTGTGCCTTAACTTGCTTTCTCAGCAATGAGAATCAGCTGCTTTAACGAGATGCCTGTGGGCATTTCTTTTGCATCTCCAAAAAGTAGTTTAGAAATAAAGTTCCTGTTGCTTGAATAAAGAAGTTTATGGAGTTTATGTACGTGCATGTGTGGCTGGTGTTGGCAATTGCACAGCTAAATCTTGGAGCGACGTCCGTGATGAATCCGAGCCGCACGTACAGAGTCCTGTGCTGCAGGAGCTTGCTTTGCTACTTTTAACGAGCTCTTCTTCCAGTGCCCTCTAATTAGCTGCAGGTTTTTTTTGTTTGTTGTTTTTGGTTTTTTTTTTCAACAGAGACTTATAAATAAATCAGGAGCTCTGTAGAAAGGGATAAATATTTAATAGTCTGGCCTTTATTTGCTTCCAACAAGCAGTGGTACCTTGCTATGCTTGTTCAGTTTACATTACGTTTGCTGGTTTGGAAGAATTCTTGTTGACCGGATTCCCCAATAAGAAGGGAAAACACGAAGCTATGAACACTTTTCCATACTTGTGAGCTTTTAAAAAAATAACTTTTAATATTTTATCATTCTGACTAAACTAAGAATGGTGTGTTTTTATGATGCCTGAAATTGCTGCACGTGCAGATCTGGCTTATGACAGGAGCTCTGCACATCTGAACCCGCACACATTTTAAGGGGGTATATTGCCGAGGAGGCACCCTGTACTGACAACTGTTTCCATAGGTGAAACCAAACGCAGGCAAAATCCAGTTAATTCACTGGGCTTCAGCCCCTGAGTGGAGAAAACGGCTTTTCTGATCAGCACCTGAGTTCAGTCATGGGTCCCTCTGTGATTTTCAGTCAGCTGTTTGTCTTCGTGAAGTTAGTATTTGTATGCTAAGAAATGGATTAAAAATGACTGAATTGAACACCGGCCAGTAGAATAGACCTTGGCCGCGGCGTGAACTGTGTGAACTGAACCCAATCCGGAGAAGCCCAGCGCTTGTTTTGAGATGAGGTAGTGTGCATCTGCACAGCGCTTCAAAGAGAAAAACCAAAAATTGTGGTGATTGAGGATAAGACCTGGGCCCGGTGGAAGGTGTAGGTGTGTGTTAGTTGTGGAAGGAGAAATTAGCACATAGTGGTCATGGTAAAAGAAGCAGCATCGGTATTAAGAAGATTCTGAGTTAGAGGATGAAATGAAGAGTAATATGGGTTGTCTTGGTGACCGTGTAACCTGCTGTCTGTGTAGTGGGTAGGTGCAATTTGCTCCTGGATAAATGCATAATTTAAATTCCTTATTTTATCTTAGTACTCATATTACACAGCTCTTTTATATTTATAAACCAGGTTGGCTTTCGGAACTTCCTGCAGGTTTTGAAAAACTGTCTGCAGTCATTTGAGATAACATTTTCTCCTTTACGCTTAGGCAGTTTCTTTTACGTCCCCCCTTGTGCTGAGGAATATTGAATATCTATAAGCGTGTTTCTCTTTCATGGTATTTTGATGTAATAGCTGCCTGGGACACCGAGTGAGGTTCTCGTTTGGTAAATTACTGCTGACGTGGGTTTCTGAGAGTTGCTTGCAAATGAGACTTTTAAACTAGGTCCTTTTTGCCGTTTGGCAGCTCAGCACATGCTTCTGTTTGAAAGTGAGAGCTAGCAACTTCCATTATGATTTCAGTTGAAATTTTAACAGTTCTTCCTCCAGGTGCGCTTGGCTCTTGATACTTGAATGAATATTTTTTCCAAGGCACTGTTTTTCTTGTAATTAGATGCAATCGAGAAAACAGAAACTCCATTATTTTGTGATGCTTAGTGTTTCAAAGGGGGGAAGAATGCAGAAGTGGTGGGGTTTCATGGGTAGTTTGTTTCTCTGCTGAGAACTATTGTCTGGTGCAGTTAATGGTCTTGCTGAATCAGATACTTCCAACAGGAGATGCTTATTCATTCTGCGGTGCTTGAAGGCCTAGCCTACGCTAACAAACTGACCTGTTACCAACCTGCGTAGGTGCCGAAACTCTCTTGTGGGTGATGTCGATGAGTCAAAACCATTTTAGTGCTGCTGTGGAAGATAAGATCTGTTTCTCCCTAGCTTTGCATCCTGCGACAGCGCTGATGGTGCTGGTGGGACTCTCTGGTGCTTTGGGGGATCCCTGGGAGGGGTGGCCTCTTCCCTGCAGTGGGGTTGGGTTCTGCGAGAGCTGCAGGAGCAGATGAATACGCTGAGCAGAAGGTGGGAGGCTTTGGGTGGTGGTGCTGACGTGCAAGTCGAGGTAGCTTTTTCATTCATTTATGTTTGCACTAAAATTGTAGACTTTCATGTACCCTTTTTTCCTCCTCCAGCTTCATGTTTCCTGTCGCAGGTGGTTTAGGCCCCCCTCAAGGTATGCATGAACTTAACATTTTGAGCACAAAGTTCTTTGCTTTGTTTACATACATTAAACAACTTAAAATAGTTCTGCGCTGATGCTCATAAGCATGATTATTAATTGAACTCCATAGCTGTTTTTCCCCTTGAATTCAATACTGGTAAGCTGACTCTTGCAACTCTATTTATAAAACTTTCTATGCGAAGTTGAAGAAGCAGTGTTACCAGAATGCTAGATGAAAGATCTAGGAAAACTGTACCTCCATTTTTAATCTGAATTTGCCTTTAAGATTTTTGTGTCATTTTGAGTGTGGTATTTAACCTCTTTATGCTTCATCTACCAGCTGTGTATACCCATATTGTGTGGGTGTTGCAAGACCTGGTAAATATTTACAAAGCACAGCAAGACCCTGGGACAAGAGTCACAACCTCTGTGGAAAGTATTAATACAATAGGAGAGCCTCAGCCTTAAATTACCTTTGTTCTCATTCCTGTTGCAGTGCTGTTTAATTAATGGAAAATACAGAGAGAACTTGTAGGGAAAGTGGAAAGTTTTCTTATAAAAAGTCTCAGGGACTGATTTATGGATTATTCCTGAGTGTGTCACATCCCTCCTGGAGTGCTTTTGCCTGTGATGTTCAGTTATGCACAGTTATAATTATCTCGCGGCGTGCTGGTAACAAATGTGTGTTAGTGTATGTCTCCCAAGATAGCAAAATATGAGATATGAAAATACTGAAATATAATCCACTTGGCTTTATTCAGTGAATTAATACATTCCAGCTTGATTTGTCCAATTTTGTCGAAGTTTAGCTTTTACTGACAAACATTGTAACCATTCTAATAGAGGTAGTGGGCTAATTAACCTACAGACAAGTTATCCAGCCAGACCAGAGTGTGAAGTTGTGTTGTGAAATGATGAGTTTATTTCCCAAGACTTATCTTCAAAAGCTGCCAGTTTGTAAGTTTTCCCTTTCAAGAGAAATGGACGATTATCAGCAGCAGTCAAGCTGGTTAATTAAATCTTGTTAATTGGAAATGACCCTTTCAAAAATCATACGGGAAGAAACCCACAGAGAATCCTTAGGATGGTGGGAGAATTCATCTGCTTAGTTATTGGGAAAGCCCAATAACATTTCTTCCCTTAGAGTGGCCAGTATCTAAACTAAGGAAATTCTGTGACTGCCTGCAGTGTAGCATATTTTTTTATTTTTTTAAACAGCCTGGCAAGACTGAGAGTTTTTTTCTTTCCTTTGCTGATTTAGTTTAAAAAAAAAAACCCAAATCCTTTAACACTAACGGAGAGCTGACCTTGTTTAATGTTTTATTGTTGTAGGGATGATTCCTATGCAACAGCAAGGATTTCCAATGGTTCCTGTCATGCAGTCCAATATGCCAGGCATGATGGGAATGAATTACGGTTCTCAGATGCCTCCTGGACCCATGACCATGCAGGTGCGTGGCAAGGAAACGTGGACTGAAATGAGATACCTTGGTGGTTGTCTGAAAGGTGGCAGCTGATGCCATAGACCTCTCACAACTGCAGTGGGGGTAAGAGGGTGGAACTTGGCGAGAAACTGAAGTGTGGGTATTAGTCCCTAGTGGGACATCGTATTTTGTAGTATTCTCTTTGAAGATATTTCTGATAATGTAAAGAATTCTCCAAGTTTCGTTGGCATCTGGATGGAGAGAGTGGGGGAGTGTGGCATACATTACTCTCTGTTGTAGAGTAGAGAGAAATGAGGGTGTAGTGCAAGGACAGTATCAGTAATATATAAATAACTCGGACGTTATAGCCACGCAAAGATGTTGGAATCTGAACTTTCATTATACATGTTATGACACCAAAGTGTGATAAGAGAAGCATGGTCTCTGAACAGAAAAGGAAACAAAAGCATCAGCAAGATGTTGAAAAGCTACCAGATACCACCTACTCCAAAGTGTGGTTAGTAATAGTATTGAATTGTAAAGTAATTACAAATCAAAACTCCCACAATGTACCTCTTCTGTCTTTTTAATTTTGCTTCATGCTTTTTCTTCTTTTGCTTTGGTTTTATGTACTTACCGTTAAGGTGGCATATTGTATGGTATTTTCAATGAGACCTTTATAAGCTGGTACGAAGTGACTGTGTACACAGTCTGATTGATCATCACCAATTCACTCAATTGTTTTATCCTTTTGTAACTGAAATGCTTGAGTTAATAAAATTAAGTTTCCTGAGTGTAGGTGGCAATTCATAAAATTTCTTTTTAAATACCTTGTTCTAGGGAGCAAGGAGTCTCCTACATGTGCTGTATTTTCGCACGTGCCTGGTTTTACCATTTGTCCTACTTCCTGTGTTTCATCCTCATTCTTTTTCTTGCTTAAAGTAATGCTGTCTCTAACTCTGCTGTTGCTAATTGAGGAATAAGAATGAAATATGAGTAACTAATATTATGTTTTCTCTCTTTTAATCTTTTGTTTTCTGTTTAGCACCATATGTGCTTATGTACAAATTTGCACTTTGCTGAAATTTAACGTTTTGGCATAGCTTTGTAGCCAAATTGCTATGTGACAAATTGAATTTATTGTATCTTTCTATCTCCTTACATTCCCTTCCCTTCCCACCCCCACCTGGCATTTATTAGATTAATTTTGTAAAATTTATAGTAGGAAGATGTTTGTATGAGAGCTGGTCTAAAAATAATAAACAACTTTTGTTCTCTTCCTGCGTGTTCTGATACCAAATACAAAATGAATGGTAAGAAAAGTAAGTTATCTTCTGTCCCCTTCTGTATGAGGCAAGCTTTGCTGCTATAACTGTACCAGAATATATTTCTCAGCAAGTGTTCCTAATACAGATGCAATTTATTCAGACAAGTCTCCTCGTGGCTGTTGTCGTACACTGTCTCCCTCCCTTAGACCCCTGGATAAGCTATGCGTGCCAAATGTCTAGACCCCATTTTGCCCGCATCCATCGTTTGTTAGGAGTGTGTACCTCCAGCGTGGAATTTAAAAGTATTATGCAGTCACTTAGAATAGGAAACAAAAAACCCAAGAAAACCCAAAAGCATGGTACTGAGCCATGTGTAGCACTGTAGGATGCCTGTAACGTTCCTGCTCTTGAGGTAGGTTGTACGGATTTGAAGTCTTGATGTTTGCATTTGACCAGAAGGCCGTCCTGTCTTTTAAAATCCTTTAAGAATTGTAACTCATTATGGAGAGGGAAGAGTGCCATCTACTGAATGACCAATGCTTTCTTCTGTAACGGCTAGTCTGTGCTCAGAGACTGCTCATCCAGCTACACTTAATGCTCTTAATTTTATGAGATCTATCTGGTTCACAATTTGGCAGGGTGTAATTGCTAGTGGTCTGGCTTTTTCTTTAGGGAGGAAAAAAAAAATAATCTTAGAGTTGTGTTATTTATTTTGTTCTAGGGTGGCATGCCCTTAGGGCCGATGCCAGCAACTGGAATGCCTTACATGGGACAGGCTTCTTTCTTGGGAATGCGCCCAGCAGCCCCGCAGTACACCCCTGACATGCAGAAGCAGTTTGCAGAGGAACAACAGTAAGTGGCGCCTTCCTGACTCTTGGGAAATTCTTCTTTTTTTTAAGGGGGAGGTGTAGTCTGGAGGGGTAGTCCACATGTAAAAATATTGATAGTTTCTCTAGAAAAGTAGTCCATTTAGGGCTGTAGAATATTATTGAGATCATTCCATTGCATTTGAAGGGTATCTATGAAGTTAGTAGTGGCTGTCATACAGCTCTGAGGAAGAGTGGAAATGTGTGCACCAAGCCATCTGAATTTGAGACAGAAGAAATAAAAAAAGGAAGCAGAAGCTTGACATGAACATTACTCGATGATCTTCAAGGTCTTTTCCAACCTATGTGATTCTATGATTCTATTGTAATGAAAAATTATTTTTAGAATTTTTTTTTTTATCATTTTGCTTCAGGAAGAGGTTTGAGCACCAACAGAAATTCTTAGAAGAAGAAAGAAAACGGCGCCAGTTTGAAGAGCAGAAACAAAAGCTGAGACTCCTAAGCAGTGTGAAACCTAAGGTATGCCCTAAATTATAAGTGGGGTGTTTCTTTCTTCAGGTTTTACTTAATGGCTTTTAAAGGGATGGTCTCTTTCAACAAGCAAATAAGTGGGGAACTTACATGAGACATCAGATTACATTTGGAAAAGTCAGTGTAATAATATACCTCTTGGTGTAATGTAAACAAAGTCTGGTATTGAAAATGAAATCAGCTTTTGAAAAATAAGCCAACCTGGTGTGTAACATTTGGGAACAGGTTCTAGAATACAGAATGTTTGGTAGCTTGTTTGTTAACTTTATCCAAAGTTTTGGACACTTGCAGTGAGCTCAAAGGCTCTTATCTGCAACAGTACAAATAGCTGAGTAAGGTTTATTTATTGTTCTTGTGCATAAAGCTATGTCTAAAGACTGAGAAACACTGTTATGGTGTAGTCTGCAAAATAAATGCTTTCTAAATACAGGAGTTATTGTTGATATGCTTCAGGAAGGCACTGCTGGAGAAAGAAGGGTTTAATTTAACAGCAGGCATTGCTAATTTTTGTACTGAAGAAGTGTGGAAATTGAAAGAAAACAGAGCTGTTCTGTGAGTTTTTCAAAATGTGTTCTGTGGTGTTTCAGACAGGTGAAAAAAGCAGGGATGATGCTTTGGAAGCCATTAAAGGAAATTTAGATGGTTTTTCTAGAGATGCTAAAATGCACCCAACACCAGCATCACATCCAAAAAAGCCAGGTTTGTCATTTTTCTCATCTTCCAACTGAAAATAAAACTCTAACGTTTGAAATCCTCAGCAGGGGGAACTAATTCCAAGAAGTATTTTTATTTGGTGATACAAAGTGAGTGGATTAACTGTTTTGTAAAATAAAGTGCCATTCTAGCAACTGTTTGCTTGGTCAGGTGAAAAATTAGGTATCAGCTTTTATTAGAAGACTTGAAATCTTTAAAAGAAAGCTTAATATGGAATATCATGGAAATTGATAATGCGTTTGTTCTTTTCCAGTCAAAGCATTAATTAATGTTTTGCAGAGTGCTTTTGAAGCTGAGAAGTGCTATACAAGTGCTAAGAATGATCAAAATGATGTATAATGACTTCAGTGTACTGTAACAGCTTACTTGTGTACCACTGCCTGGGCATGGTCAAACCGAAGCCTGCAGTATTCTCTTCTCACTAATTACTACATTTGTAACAATTGCTACTAAAGATTTCCTGTGGGTTGTAGTATAGTTTGTTCTGTGTCTAGCCTGAAACAAAGCTTAGCTAGACAAGCTTTTTCCTGTATAAAATCTTTATCAGTACTGTGGATTTGCTTTTTCATAATTTTGAACTTACAGGTGGTTTCTGACAGTTTTCCGTTGTCTGTGGGTGTGCCCATCCTGTGTCAGTTCTGTTAAAATGGGTAACTATGCAAGGGATCAAACAGCAAATTGTCTAATGAGTACACGTTTCTTATGTATCTTATGATATATTATTGAGCTTTTGAGGATAAAACACTGCTTTGAGGGACAACGTCCCCCCATGCACACCCCCATTATGTCCAGTTTGCAATATTACTTCTTGATTTGTTTTGATCCAGTCTATTTAAAACAAATAGAATACTTCCATAGCCAGCGTTAAGAATCAAGTTTCAATCAAAGTGTTTACATCACCAAAATCTGGGAGAGAAGATGCGTGGTTGGAAGTGGCTGCTCAGTTTTACCTTTGTGTGTTATGCTGACAACAATAACTCTACACACCACTGTCAAATAACGCATCCACTGCTGTTTCCCCTCGCCCATTTGCTGTGTATACCTGGTATTTGCCACTTTTCCTACCTTTCCACCTGTGAACCTTTTTCCTCATCACTTTGCGTTGTGTGTTCATTCCATTTTACAGATCATCCCACATCATCCCATTCTGCTGTATCTATTTCCCACTCTGCTTTTCTCGATGATGAAGAATTTAGTGACTTTATACAAGGGCCTGTTGAAATCCCCAAACTGGTGCCTCAACCCACCTCTCAGCCTTTTCAGCCTTTCCATTCTGCTACTGAGGCTGGGCAACTGCTTTCAGAAAAGGCTGTGGTCCAACCTCTCCCTCCAGCCCAGACTCCAGTGTTATCCATCCTGCATGGTACAACTGGGCAGGTTCCTTATTTTCCTACCTCTGCATCTTCACCCAATATCCATAAAACAGGTAACTTTAAAGTATCTTTTTTTACATGTCACCTTCTGTCATAGAGTGCACAGAGTTTTTACTTATTTTGTTGGCCTTTTCAGTCTGGCTGAAAGAAGTAATATATAGACAATTAAGTAGAAACCTCATGATCCATGGGAAAAGATGATTTAAGTCCTCTTCTTCCATCCCTTAGAACTGCACTGTGAAAGCAAGTCATGTGTGGATCCAAAGATTGCTAAATATGGCTGATCTTAAGTGAATTAAGTCTTGTGTGCTAGCATCTTCCTAAGTCTGTGTAGTAGAAAAAGATACAGTTGAGATGGTGGTATAAAAAATAACTATTACGCTAATGCGGAGCACTTCTGGGCTTCCTCTCTTGGAGGCTAAATGGATGTCGGCGAGATTAACGTGAAGAATTTTGCAGATGTAAGTAGGTTGGACACGTCTGCTACTGATGCCTAGATGATTATGCAACTGTAATCCTAATACAGAAAAGTTTCATGTATTCCTTCTCCTGCTTGTTGCTTTTTCTTTGTTGAATTTGTTATGTATGCATGGTAAGTAAAGGGCAGAATCAGGCTATAAAAGTGTTTGAACGGGGTGGTGCTGTTGGTCTGAGCTGGGACGGATACTCATCTTGATAACTCATCAGTGGTACCAATAAGACTTTTCCTTTGAAAGTGTGGAATTGCATCTGGGTGGTTAATAACAGAATACAAATAATTCCTCCTGCTGTTTATTCAGGCTCTTCCTTGGAGGAGAAAGTCTTAGATAATGGCTCAAATGAATCTCAACAAGAGCAAACCAAACTTAAAACATCCGAAGTTGGGCACAAAGCCTCAGCTGCAAGCCAAGTTCATCCCAGTCTAACCATCAATGACTGGGATGTTGTAGGTGGACATGAAAGTGGTACCACTGCTGCAGAGGTGCACAAGGCTTCAGAACAAAACATAGCAGTTGAAGAGTGTGGTGAGCAAATGAAATATTTGACAGAAGTTAAATCTAATAAGATGCTGCTTGAATGCTAACACTCTGTACACTAATTCTAAGGCCAATCCTGCATAATTTTGCTCTGAACGCCTGCTTGAGTAATATGTCAGTGCCTCCTGCTCCTTGCTAAAAGTATAACAACTATGATTTTGCTCTGAACTTTTTCCACGTGAATTTACTGCTGTAATCACTTTTAACATGTTTGTTTAATCAGTTCTGCTGTTTTAAAATATTCTGTTCTCTTTCTTGGGGGGAAAAAAAAAATGATGTACTCTCTAAAGATTCTCTTTTTTTAATTATTTAAGGAAACTTAGTACTAAAGATGGTCAATGTCATGGTGGGTTTTCATCTTTTAACTTTGAGGGGATAAAATCTTGTTAGGTTAAAACTCTTAGCTAGTTAATACTTGTTTCCTAGACAATTTGCTGCTCATATGCATTGTGTCTAAAACTATCTGTGCTTTAGAGGTCAAAATTTCAAAAGCTGGACTAAGAGAAAACTTTAAGCAAGCTTTAGTTCCAATTTGGATTTTATTAAAGCTGACTATTGACTCGTTGGTTTTGTTTTATTCTAGTCAAAATAGATGCAGGGTCTCTGGTGCACCTTGATTAGCGCTCTGATGTTGTGCTTAAGGGTTACATGAAATGTGGGCTCCGCTGTTGCCAAGTGTGATAAAAATAAATGTAGCCCTTTGTGTAATCTCACCTGACTGGGGGGTGAGAGGAGAAGGTTCCTGGTCTGTAGATAGTTGAATTGGGCACTTTCTCAAGCAGTTATTTCTTTCCTAGAAGTACCACAACTTTTTATTAAACAACTCACGTATTCCTCTCTTCAGGCATTGGATATGTTGCTTTCAAGTGTTTTCATATCCAGTATATCTAAAAAACGTTATTGGATGACATTAAATGGTCCGAATGGATGTTTTTAATAAGTGGAAGGGCTTTGTAATACACAGTAAATTGCTGAAAGTGACTTAACTTTAAACAATATACAGCATGAAATAGGAGCTGTTCATTTATTCATGGGTCAGCCAATTGCATTGTTCATTTTGTACAAATCTAACACAATCTGATGCCTGATTTAAAAAAAAAAAAAAAAGAGGGAGGCAGGAAACTACCCTCGTTTAAGAGTGTGGGACAGAGCAAGCTTAAATACAGCCTGCAGGTGAAGGTGGTGTTGGAAGTGATTATGCAGAGCAACAATAGTTAAGAATAGTTCCAAATGTTATTAAGGGTGCTTTGAAGGACGAGCTGAAATACTTTGTGAGGAACAGAAGTTTAGTAGTTAAGCGATACTGCTGAAAAATGGCAGACCCTTAGTCACCTGGATATTATCAAAGTTTTGAGTAAGACTCTCCTATCTATCAACTAAATACAGCTGAAAATTCCTTTTCACTTCTCCTATTATTTGATTTTTAAGGGGCTGAATTTTATCAGAGAGGTTCGAGGGTGAGAAGCAAGAATCGGTAGGATGCAGAAGCGGGTGGAAGGGTGGTTAAAGCTGAAGAATAATGAGATTGGAAGAAGCAGCAAATTTATTTTACTTGGCTGGTGAAATGGAAGGAATTGCTTGTATTAAAATGTGCTTGGAGTTGTGGGATGATTAGAAATTAGACTGCAGCCAGGAGAGAATCCATGTGGAAGAGGAGGAGATGCAAGGGCACTGGGAAAGACAATGAAACCTGAAATGATTCTGATTTTTGTCAGAGCTCCATTCAAGATGAGCATAAAATCTGCTTAGAAGGGAGCTAGATAGGAAGTAAAACCATGAGACTGAGGGGAAGAGTCCACACCGTGGAGAAGGAAATAACCAATTCGCAGGGAGTGAAGTGTGGCAGATCACATTATGAAAGCCTGTAGTAGGGAAGGCTTCTGGATCTGAAGATGAGGAGCAATGGGGCAATGGATATGTTTTTGTGAACATGGGATAAGATCTTGCTGAGATTCAGTCTAATAGGCTGTTTGTGGATTTCCCCGATAAGGATGTTCTGATGTAACACTGTGGCTCTTCTGGTAGGTATGAACTTATTTATTCCACAGGTAGCCCTAATAGCATGTACGTGATGGGAAGACTAAATTTCATATGGCACAGAACTGCTGCTTTGAAATTTTAAGAGACAATGAGACTTGAGCTTCTGTACAACTAGAAATTAAGAGGGAGGTAAATGAGGAGCTCCTCATTTCATTATGTATATAACTATATTCTTCCTGTTACTGCCAAATCATTCTAGTTGTTATGTTGAAATACATATTCCTGCAGTAGCTGTTTTTCCTCTGAGCACAGTGATTCCTATCTGAAATCTTTGCCTGAAATGCTAAATGATACTGACCAGCTAGGAACTAGTCTTGAAGATCTTTATAGTCTGAATCTGTATATCCTAATACAACTGTCTGTCTTTTTCTTACTGAATGGAATACGTTTAGGAGTTGGAGTATTCCCTTCACAGGACCCAATTCAGCAAATGATGCCTCCTTGGATTTACAACGATAGCTTGGTCCCAGGTAAACAAGAAAGCGGGCATTTAGCCAAGTGGGCAATGTAAGGTGTGAATGTACGTGTACTTGTGTTGCCATTTATTGATCAAAGCGTTACTCTTCAGTCATCAAATGAATCCTATATCTTTGATACGTTACATATTTATGGTGGCTTTATCTGCATTTGAAGAAGTATGGATTTTATTCAAGCACGTTAGATGTTTAATCTAGAATTTCTAGATTAAACGTTTAATCTAGAATTCTGACAGCAGATTATGCTAGTAGAGGTTGCATTGCTGATAATACTGCTTTCATGGGTAGTCTGTTTTTTGGCATGTCTTGTAATTAAGCAGGCTCATTTCTTAAGGCTATTTTTCTTAGATATGCAAATTACATAGTAAATAGAAAACTAAATGCTGTAGTAAATATTGATTACACTGAGGTTTAAATACATAAAGCTGTTATAACTATCTTTTTATATGGATTATCCTGCAATTTCATTAAAGAAACATGTTTTGAAATGGAGCACTAATTGTATTTTATATAAAATATTTATTTGCTTGTGTTAAACTTGTCTGTAAAGACCATCCAATAATGCATTTAGATGAAACGTGATGATACAATACGATGCCAGAATGCTGTTGCCTCACCTTACGCTTTGTGTGTTGCTAATTTGATATAATGTTGAGTTAGGGACAAAATAGAAAAGCAATCTTAAATTCACTTGAGAACAGCAGTTGTCGCTGTCTAATACTGACTCCCTCTTAACAGAATTGTATAAGAAAATTTTAGAAACCACTTTGACTCCTACTGGAATAGATACAGCTAAACTCTATCCCATACTGATGTCGTCTGGATTGCCCAGGGAGACTCTTGGACAGATATGGGCGTTAGCCAACCGTACTACCCCTGGGAAGCTCACAAAAGAAGAGCTCTACTCTGTCCTGGCTATGATAGCAGTCACTCAGGTATGACTAACACTTTGGCGATTACTGCAAAAAGGCAGTTTGCTGAACTAATCCGCCATAGATTGCATGTTAGCACAAGTGGCTGGTATACCACACCCGTAGTGAAATACTACTTCTGTTGAAGTCCAGAGAACCTCCCCTTGTAACTTCAGTGGCATTATAATTTCATCCCCTGCACTTACATTTCAGTTACTCCTTTCTTTAGTGTCAGTTGACGGTAGTTCTTAGATATACCTACCAAACACCTGTACATGTATTTCTAGTAGAAAATACTGGCTGTTTTTCTTCTGTTGTACATGCATCTGTTTTCCTCAAGCTATATGGTTTAGGTATCCCTTAGTCTGCAAATAGCTAGACTTGCTGCCTCTCTGTCTTTGTCAGCATAGTGTCATCTCTTAGGATTTTATTTCTAAATACCAGCCGTCTATGAAAGCTAAGGCAAGAGTATCTTGAGCAGTGAATATTGAAGCTGAGGTGCCTTGTTGGAGTGGTGTGTAGGAAAGACGATTGCTTGGCTTGGCAGCGCTTACCAGATTGGTTTACTAAAAGCTGAAAAAGAATGCTGTCAAATGCTTCTGCCCACCCAGACAGGTATCGTACCCTCTGCGTAACTCCAGCAGTCAGGGTGTTGAACAGGATTCGCTTATACAGGCTCTTGATAGCATCTTTTGCTTTGGAAGGTTTACTCAAAGCTTGACCAGTACCCTGCTCTTTCATGATTTCAATAATACAAACTGGAAACTGGGGTGAGAGTGCAACGTGCCTTTTTGTTGATGTGCTCACGTGTATATGCTTCTCTTTGCTTTTCTGCCTTTGCAGAGAGGAATACCTGCAGTGAGTCCTGATGTGTTAAACCAGTTTCCAGCTGCCCCTGTTCCTACTTTAACTGGATTTCCAATGCCGCTGCCTGCCACAGTGAGCCAGCAGCCTCTGATGCCCTCCGCACCGCCAGTCTCCATGCCTCTTAGCATTGGGCCGGCCGTGATGGGAATGAACATCACGGCACCAGCGGGCGGAGCTGCAGCACAGCCGTCGGGAGGATTCGTGCCATCCTACCCGCCGCCCAGTCAGGTTCGCTCGCTCTTGTTGCCTGGCAAATCTCCATTCTCCTGGAAAGCGAATTAACCTGACTCTTTCAAAGCTATGTAGTGGCAACAGGCTTTAAGTAAACAGTAAAAAATGGAGCTGAAATCTAGCACGTGACGTCTGAAAACATGAAGTCATGCCACTAAGGATGTTCTTTTATTTTTTCTGTTTCATTCTGGTGGCATTAGAAGAGGTACAAAAGCATTCTCCATTACAAACTAATTGCATTGAAAGAGGATTTTAGTTGTAGTTGGGATTTTTGTAATGCACATAAAATGGAATTTTAGGTTAAACGATACAACAGACTATCAGCTGTAAAATAAGTCAGATTTTTCAGGAGAAGCTGAGAACTGTGAAAACCTTTTGGTTTACAACACTAAATCAAGTGGGGGATAAATTTTGCTGTTTGCAGATACGGTTCATCCTTCTTTGGAAAATATTTCTTCTGATGCTTTTGCTGCGTGTATTGATTTTTAAATTATTGATTGATTTAAATTATTAATATTTGTCCTGTATTAAAAGATTACATGGCTATGATCAAGAATACATTTAATGTGAAAGGAGTAGAGTTCCTTATTCAGCCGTTCTTCATGCATACTGCTTGCAGTCCTGCACACCTCGTGTGTGTTTTGAATCAGGTGAGGTGTGGGTGAAGCAGAAACACTGACCATGCTGATTTTGCCTGCTGATGTTGAAAGTTTTTTTTTTCTGTCTTTTGCCTTTTTTTTTTTTTTTTTTTTCCTCTTGAGTCGATCACGCTACTCGAACTGCTTTCATGCTATATGACAATTTGAAGACAACAGTATAGCAATTTACATGTTGTTTGTAACTCAGGTAGTAAAACCAGAAGATGATGACTTCCAGGAGTTTCAAGATGCTTCAAAGTCTGGCTCACTAGATGACTCTTTCACTGATTTCCAGGGGGATGTAGCTGGCTCCTCCAAAGCAGCCAGTTCACAGCACCGGAGCAGGTAGTAGATCTTTGATTTCCACCCCTTTGGTATTTTAGAACTCCTCTAAGAAATGAAATGTTTTCCTCTTTTGTGGGTAGCTGTCTAGCCTGTAATTTTCTTCTCTCACCTGACTTCGACTCTGACAGTTTCTTTTGAAGGTTGTTACAACTGCAATTAGGCTTTCTGAATCAAAAATGACATTTGATGTGCCATAGGTGGTTGGCCATTCTTTGGCATTCTAGTCATCATGCTGAGGTAAATTGCGTTTACAAGGTATGGAGATAGGTTTTCAAGTGTTCATACTACTGCACAGGCAATTGAAAGTTACTTCATACTGTGCATTCAGGCGAAAATCTTACATAAAGCTATTCAGAAAAAAATACACTGGGACAGAGGAGTTCTGCATTTAGTGCTGTGTGCTTCCATTAAAAGTATGACCCCATGTTTGGTGGAGTTGATAGAAACCATTTGCTGACATCAAGGTCTTTCTTCAGGCCCTGAATATGGACCCGAAAATTCATGCGAAGAGCATGACATCGTACTCTTAAATGACTGAGAACTCCAGTGGACAGGGTTTTTGTTATTTCTGTCGTTTCTCTGGCCAGTGCTTAAACTTTCAATAACTGACTATAAATCTCAATTGAAGTCTCATTCAGACTTCAGCAGTCCTGGCTTTTCATTTGGGAGGCTGCCAAAACGTAATTCCAGATCAAGCAAATTTTGTATAACAAAATAAGTAAGCATGTTTACTCCCTTTGAGAGTTTACAATTAATCTTTCAAAGTCCTGTGATTACAAAATGTCAGTGTTGTTTCCTTCTACTGCACATGGCAAACTTTTATGTACCTCCCAGGTGTCTGATTGTAGACGTACAGATTTTCTGTGTGTTGAACTGACTGTTCTTAGTTGCAAATAGAAGTAGCGCTTTCCAGGTAAGCAGTGATTACCAGTTGCTTCCTCGACAGTGACGTCAAATGGGGATACTAAAACAAATTGTTCTGTTACACCGTGCCTAACAGCATTCTGTGTAAGAAATTAAATTTTGCTGATGTCAACCGATGCCACATGCATCTGAAGATGCTCTCTTTTAAGTATATCTTAATTTGTGTTACACGTCATTTTGCAGTTAAAGCTGTTCTGTTACCGAAAGTTTTAACAGAAACATTGTTTGTAAATTCCACAATGGGAAGTAGGGGATCATAAAAAAAAAAAAAAATTAAAAATGGTGTTTCTTTTTTACTGCAGCAGTTCTCTTTATTCAGTTGTAAAAGCGTTCGGTTTTGAACAGAATGTTACAATGAGCTATAATCTAATTGCTTATGGAGCTTTATTTAAAAAAAAGCCATCTGTAGAGTACAGATGATTAACCATTGCATTGGCCAAGATTGCATATCTAATAGCCTGTTTTGCAGTGATGTGAAATTTAATTATATTACCATAAGCTATATTTTTTTGACATTGCACTGTCTGTCTGCAAGCATCCCAGACCATCATTAGCACGTGTGTGCAAGTGCTAGGTTTGTGTGTTGCTTGTAGGCTGCTGATAAGGAGATTTAAATGGCTCTGGAAAGATTCTTGCTTCAGGCCAAAGAATGCCATAGAAATTCATTCACGTTTTCAATGTGCATAGTACTGAATGACATAAACTGGAGGTAAAATGCATCATTCATATGTAAAGGATGTTGTTCTGTAGAGCTGCCAAGGTCTGATAAGGGGGCTTGTGTGGAGGGCAAGCAAAGCTCTTGCAGAACGTCTTCTAAATCTTACAGCAGTTGCTAACATGGTGTTAGGTTATTATGGCAGTTTTACTATATAAAGTAGAGTGTGTTTATGTGTGAAAAGATTTGCCTGTGTAACTGTGGGCTAAACCTTATTTTGCTGATTAGATAGCCACCTAAACTCGCTGATTTGCACTGACAGAAATTCAAAGGTATCCTTTCCTTCCTTTCGAACAGTGTTTCCACTTTATTCTCTTTAATTTTGCAGTAAGTAATGAAATATAATCAAAAGTAGATAAGCTGAAAGTATGGGGCTGGCAAAATCTCATGCAGTTTTAACTCTTTACTATATCTAGTTCTGTCAGGGAGAATTGCCCTTACGCTGCCCTGGGCAAAGTGATAAATTAAACAGCAGTGATTCCTGGGGTACGTCTGTGTACTTATTGTCTCCCGGGCTAAAAATTCCTGTGGTGTGAAGTTCTGCAGTGTTTTGTTCATATTTTGGTACAAATTAAAATCAAGAAGGGTAAAAATTGACTTCTGGCCTGAAGAAATACAATTAGGTGAGATAAAGTGCGAATTCACCCATCAGTTACCCAGCTGCCTGTTTACATGCTCTTATTCTTAACAGATATTGAGGTAGCTTACATCAGGTTCTTGATCAAGAACTCTTTAGGGTACAAGCTTAGGTTTAGTGATCCAAAATGTGTAGTCATAGTAAGAGGGTCCTTTAAATAAAACCTGGAAACGCAGATTACTTATGGATAAATTAAGGAACTTTGCTTTTATCTCTTTTGTTTTTAGTGTACCTTCTTTACTAATGCCACTCCCAGGTACTAAGACACTCTCATCAACTGACAAGTATGCTGTGTTTAAAGGAATTGCAGCTGAGAAGTCGTCTGAAAGTACAGCTACTTTTGGAGGTAAAAGGAAAAATATACAACCACTACGAGAAGTTGATTGCAATATTTCATGTATCTTGATTTTCGGCATTGATAAAATATTAATATTTAAAAAATCAGAGCAATTATGTCGATATAAAATTTATTATATGAATTCCTAATATGTTTATGTATTCCTTTTCTTGTATTCACTAGATTGTGGAGACAAGTATAGTGCTTTCCGTGAGTTAGAACAACCATCAGAGAGCAAATACTTAGGTAAGCAGTATGTTTTTTGGATCTGTTTTAACATGTCTTCATTTTTATTTTTATGAGCTGCAGAATTTCCATTGCTAGAATTCTAAAATAATGGTGCTTCTGCTCCTCTAAACAACTTAAGCAGGAAGCATCCTGAAAAAATAGTGTGATATATTATTGGAACAATCTACAAATTGTATTTCTAGGCAATTGGCATCTCATTTGGATGCTTCTGAGCATTTTATTTTAAAATAAAAATATGGCTGGAATTTGCTCATTTTAACTAAGGAGTCATGTATTCTTAGAAGACAGAATGAGATGCTTCTGGACGAAATCACAACTTTTTTCTATTGTTAGGGCAGAATTGAAACTTTTTGTGGTCTCTGGTGCTCTAAGAATAAATCTGATCGCTTATTTTGAAATTTGTGTTTAACTGGTTTTGATCGGGAAAAGTAAAACCTAAATGGCATCTGACGTGCAACATCTGTGTAATTACAAAAGCAGAGCCTCCCTAAGCCTTTTCCAGAACCATTGATGTCTAACTCATTTATGCGATATAAGTGGTAATCTCATCTTTTTAATCGGATGGGGAAAAACTTTCGTATATTATCAGATCAGAAGATAAACAGACTACTGACTTAACATAACTCTGTGGAAGTTAGGTTATACCCAGCATTTTGTTTCATTATTAGAAGACAACTTTACATTCTGGGATAAAACTTCTTACCTGAGTTCATTCCTACTCCTTATTTTTCAAAGACGTAATTATTTTTTTTTTCAGACACTGAGTTTCTGAAACTCCTGTTATGTTTTGTGAGGTTTTTGTGCTCAATACCTCTTCAGGATTAAATGCATGCAATGAAATGAAATAACATTTTATCTCTTTCCGTACATGTTCTAAAATATAGAAAATTACTATATTTGCCTGCTATCCAGGTCTGACCACTCTTAACCCTTTCACCAGCTTACATTTCTAATGGAAAAGTTTGCAATTCATCAGTAAGTTTAGTTTGCTGTGATGTTTTAGTTTTGATCAATGAATAGCAATTTCACGAATATTTGTATTGTTGCTGGGCCAAGCGAATTGATTTGGAGGGGAGGGAGAATGGAAGAATATGTCAGGTATAGTCATGGTCCTTTACTACCATCATAAAAAGTATTCTTTGAAATCTTGGTTAAACTAATTTAAAGTATGACACTGTGTGGTAGCTTAAGAATTAAATGTTAACGGTGTACTTCTAAAATAGAACAAAATCTGTTTATTGGACACTTGTCTTAAAATATGCATAAATACTTTAAAATTACACGTAGTCTAAGTATGTATGTGCTGGTGAATGGGTTAAACAACATTTTTCATGTTCAAAAGAAATTGCTTTATAAAAAAAATGATTGTGTATGAACAGCAAGAAACTTATAAAATTAGTACACAAAAATATTTACCATAAATTCAATGAAAATATTGTTACCTAATGTTTAATCAGGTTTAAATTATAATCTTTACATAGTACTGTCTTACCTTCCGTATGTAGTTGAACTAGAGATCCGCACATCTTACAACTAATCATGCTGACTTTCATGTGAGTCTGTCTCCAAGCTTCCTAGTAAAACTCTAATCAGTCTTAGCAGAAGCTAGAAGATGCCCGAGTTATTACATTTACTGAAGTTCTGATCATTTAACACTTCTGTACGTTTACGCGAACCTGACAGAAGGAAAACATGATAGATTAAAACGAGAACTTAAAAATGTTCTAAAACAACATGTTAGGATCACTGCCTTGCATTCTTTTCTGTTTGGGGTTTGGTCTCTTCCACCCGTTGGGTTCCCCAGTATGCCCAGTTGGATAGGCTTGTTGGCTGTCTGCCTTCTTTCAGGCGAACTTTTTTCAAAAGTACCTTCAGCCACCAGGCAAGTCCAGTTGGTCTCTACTACGGTCCCCTTTCAGCTTATCAGCAGGGTTGCTTTTGTCTCAGCCCTCTGCTGACGCCCCATGAATAAACTCTATTTAGGCAATATTTTGAAGGGAGGGAGGGGGAGAATTGCTTCTGTAAGAAGGCAAATGCTATATTGCTATAAGTGAAATTCAAGATTACATTCATTGCTTGGCAAATATGGGAAGGATGAGGTGGGGAAAAAACTTACGTGGAAGCTGAATGAGACAGTACTGATCACCTTTTGAATCTATTGGTCATGGTTTGTTTTGATATTAACTCAGTGTAAAGGGAATTTAATATGACTTTGAGGCTATTTGAAAGACTTAAGTGTTTGCTGGAATGAATATTAGAATCGCTGACCTTGAAACTTGTGTGGTTCATAGAAGTCGAGTTTGCAGTTCTACGTGCATCCCGAGGTCTTAATTTAAATAGTTTGCATAAAAACTTCTGACATTGCATGAAATAATTTGCTTGCTTGCATGGTGTGAGCATGATGTATTTGTTGTCACTGCAGTGTCGTCTTATTGTTTTTTCGTTGTCTTTATTCTCAGGAGATAACCTTGCAGAATTCAAGCCTGCAGGAACCGATGATGGTTTCACAGATTTCAAAACCGCTGACAGTATCTCACCATTAGAGCCACCTACAAAAGACAAAACATTCCCTACGTCCTTCCCTTCTCTGCCCGTTCAGTCAAAACAGCAAACGCAAGCAAAGACCTCTTTGAATCTAGCAGACTTGGATCTCTTTTCCTCTACTGGAGAAAACAAGCAGCCATCCTTTACACCTTCATTTAATACATCAAAATTGGGCTCCTTTCCTCCACCACCCCTTCCATCTACCACCACCCAGCCAGCAGCCAGCAAAAGTTCAAGCTTAGCTGATGAGTTTGGAGAGTTCAACCTTTTTGGGGAATTTTCTAATTGCGCATCAGCCAGTGGACAAGATGACTTTGCAGATTTTATGGCTTTCAACAATAGCAGTGGATTTTCAGAACAAAAACCAGATGACAAATACAATGCACTTAAGCTGGAGGCCGGTCCTGTTCCCCAATCTGGCTCATCTGCCAGCACGGTGAAGAGTGGGCAGAGTTCTGCCACTGCCGCTACGCCCACCAAATATGATATCTTCAAGCAGCTTTCTCTGGAAGGCTCTGGAGCAGGCTTTGAGGAGGCGAAGGACAACACGCTTTCTTCAGTGAAGAGCGATGATGATTTTGCCGACTTTCACTCTAACAAGTTTTCTTCCACGTGCAACAGCGCAGATAAGTCCCTGGTGGACAAAGTTGCAGCTTTCAAGCAGGCCAAAGAAGACTCTGCTTCGGTGAAGTCTCTGGATCTCCCTTCTATTGGTGGCAGCAGTGTCGGCAAGGAGGATTCTGAAGACGCGTTGTCTGTTCAGTTTGACATGAAACTGGCTGATGTGGGAGGAGATCTTAAGCATGTCATGTCTGATAGCTCTTTGGATTTGCCAACAGTTAGTGGCCAGCATCCACCAGCAGCAGGTGAGGAACTGGTTAGATTGCTCTGGTAACGTAGGTGATGGAGATTTCAGTGTTCTTCTGTGTGCTAAATTACAGTATTATGCACTAGTCTTTCAGTAGTGGAAGACTTCTAAATCTGTGCACCCTCTAGCCAACAGCCCCTTAGCAGGGCGGTGTTTATTTTTTGTCTTAGATGACTATAAATAGATTGAACAGTTTGAACTCCATGCCAGTTTATTTTTGAGATTTGACAACATCGTATTACTGGTACCTGTTAGCTATTGTCACTTAAGGGATTCGAGTGGAAAATTTTCTAATGCAAACAATGTCATTCCATTTATATTAGCAAGATGAATGGCAGAGAGCCTCACTTTAATCTCTTGGTTTCAACAAAGCATTTGGCTTGGGGACTTAACCCGCTCTGCGCTTCTAAAAGGGTAGGCAGAACACTAATTTGTGCTGTTAATGAAAAGCTGTCTAATCAACACCACTAGTGTATTCCCGTTACGGTGGGGCTTAATCTGTGTAGCCAGTATTTTACAGGACTGCAAGTAGAAGTATTGCATACACTTTTTAGAGTTAAAACCTTTATTGGAATAATTGTGCAAAGGGCTTGTAAATGCTCGTCTCATGATTGATAGCTTTTGGACCTAAATTTAAAACCACGGGACTTTTCCTTTACCCTGATCAGGTTTTCACCTTCTTTAATTTCCCTTTATGAAAGTACTCCTGAGAGAGTGAATTGACCATCTCCAATCTGATTGCGTATCATAAAACAAATTTCCCAAGTGTCCTGCTTTTTCTTTTCATATGTACATAGGAAGATAAGATGTAGTTAAATGTTCTGTGGCCTTCAATAATATGGGAACCATTACTGTGTTCTAGCGACAAGTATTATGCAGTCAAAGGCTTTTCTGAACAGGGGGGAGCATACAAACTGTAAATGTAAAAGCTGTTACTGCAAGAATTGGTTATTTCCATATGAAATATTTCTTCCATTTTTGCAGATATGGGTAGAGAAAATATACAGTACTGTAATTTTGCATTATATGATATTTTTAAGTAGGAGAGGGAATTAAGTTGGCAACTTTGATGTGGAAGATACTCTATAACAGGGTACAAAATATCAGGAATAATTTATTAGCAAAGACATTTAATTTTCCTATTACTGCTTGGTAAAATTCCAAGTTGAGTGAGCTGTCAAAAACGTAGCACCTACAGTGTATTCTTGAATGTTTACTTTGGTTTTGAAAGCACTTTTTCCTAATATTTTTCTAGCCTCTTTTGGTGGTAGTTTGACTTATGTAGCTCTTCTACAGGATGTGAGCTTTTGCCACAGTGATAAATAATTGCCATTTGTGGCAGGAAAGACTCTTTTGGTTTGTTTGAAGGGGTTAGCCAACCATGTGCTTGTTGCTAAACTTTTGAACTCTGAAGTATTAATTAGAAGCTATTTTTATTAAACTTAAACAAGTCTGTATTCTCCTATGGTGCCAAGCTAGATGTTTTTCCACAGGGAGAGTTTTACTCCATTTAACTCTGTTTGGATTTTGTAGCGGAGCATGCTCTGGACGATCTGTTACGAATACTTCTGTGCTCATGTGTTCCTTTATGTATGTTTGATGCATTTCAAGCTATGAACTGCTGATGTTCAAGTCCTTTTTTCAGTTTACATAAGTTAAAAAGCAGATTTTTTTTCTTCCTCTCAATTTTCTTCGATCTGTAAATCTAATGTCAAAAAGGGACAGTATCCCTTTGTCATCCTCACTGCTGAGAAATGGGAGACTAGTCATTGGGAACCGTATGTTTGCAAGCACCGTGTAACATCTCCAGTGAAACTGCAGCGGGACAGAGGTGCTGATAAATGATTTGACTTTTCTGACATACCAATACAGAGGTCTTTATGCTTTGGCTATCGAGATTTCATGTTGCATAGCTTCCAGGTATGGGCAGGTAGGTCGTTTACGCTGGGAATTAGAAAGAAATCGTTGAGTTGCTTCCCATATGACAGCCTTGGGTCTCTGAGGGAAGAAAGGTTTTCAGTTTTGCTCTCTCCAAAGGGGATACTGTCTCTTTAAACTTTGCTATAATTCGTTGTGTGGAAGGTAGATTATACTAATGTTGCCTGATTTCTCTTGCATATAACCCTTTGAGCACTGGCTGCATGCTGTTAGTTTCAACCAGGCTGCTTCTTTTAACCCAAATTTATGTTTCACTCCAAGACGAAAGCATTTTAATTAACACCTAGTCACGTTACGTGAACCTAATTTGTTCTGCATCCTGCCAAACGTTGCAGCGAGAGCGTACCCTTGCCCGGGTATTCTCAAAGGGTTATCCATTTGCTGCACTTACAAATCTGTGAAGTACCTTTTTCTTTGGCATTATTGGAGATCTCTGTATATTTTAATCAACTTCAGGTTTTTTGCTGCTTTTCTAATGTCTAATTTCAATGAAACATTTCCTGTGTGAATGTGCCTTCTCAGATCTGCTTTGATATCTCTCTTCTGCAAGTATTGACCTGCATGCTTTATTCTGATAACGCCCTTACGAGCTCCTATGTATCACTATCTTTTGTGATCTGTAAGTCCTGCTGTGTTAATAAATATTATCTTGGCATATTTTGAAAATGTGGGGATGTGTGTGATTTGTTGCAAACCAGCAATGTATCTCTTTTTCCTGAAAAATACAAAGTTTAAAGTTATAGTATCCCCTTAAGCTGGCGGGTGCCTTTCTCTTGCAGAGCAGCGTGTGGGTGAGCTTCTTTCTCCTCTTCCAGTGCTTTGACCGCGCTCCCTGGGTGCTTCTGAAACTTGACATATCAGGCTAAACGATATTTTTGAAAAGAGCAGTTTTTGAGAGGGATTAAATAGAGGAGATGTGTGGATGGCAGGGTTGTTTCCGTGAGTTGGTTTTGACCAACTGGAAAATATGTTGCTATCTAGGCCTTTATGAGGAGGAGCCCATTAACCCATACTCTGATATTTATTTAGCTAATCTAGAGTGAATTAAGTGGTGCCCCAAAGTAAAGGGCCCTGCTTCCTTTTTCTGTTTGGGAAGTCCTGGCTTACTAAATATTAAAGCTTTCAAACACGAATGACAGCTGCAAATTTGTATCATGTAATTATGTCACTTTGAATTCCTCCAAATCCTGAGCCACTAACAGTTTGGGATTAACGTCAAATTAGCAGACAAGGTAAAAAGCTAAAAATAATTGAGATGCGGAATAAAATTAAAGCATTATGCCAGCGCAAACTGGGTTCTTGTAGTTCCTCGTCAGAAGAGCAAAAACCAGACCAGTAACCAGAATATGTTTGTCGTCTTTACACCAATCTTGAGAGACTTTAAAAGGAAAAAAAAAAAAAAGAAAGAAAAAAAGAAAAAAAAACAAACACCACCCCTCTTTCATTCTGGCGAACCAGTAGGCTATGCCTAGCCCTAAAGCTTTTTGAACTGAAGACTTGAACATAAGCTTGAGAGACTTAATTCTGCAGGGCTTGTGCTATTAGTATTTGTTCAGTTAATCATACCTGGAGGAGGGAGAGTGATGTTCATGACTCTGTACTTTATTACATTTTTGTCCAGACTTGACAGTCAAATTCACTCACTTGCTCTCATTTAGTATAATTCTGCAAATAGAAGAGCTTAACAACACTTACTTACCCTGCGAAGGCCTCTGACAGCGGAGGGTGCGGACGTGTTTTCTGAACGCCTTCCAAGCTGAGCCAAAGGGCGCAGAGACGCAGCAGCTGCCCTGGGCTTCGGCAGGGCTGAGCTGAGCCCTCTCTCTGCTTCCAATGCAAGCTCAGGGGGTCTTTATTTCGCTGTGAATCGTTGTTTATCATGATAATTAAAAAACAATTAGCAAATTCTTTAATTCCACAAGGTTTGAAGGCTTTTCTCTCCTTTTTCCTTCCTTTTAATTTATCTTACAGTCAGCATTCTTGATGGTTCCCGCCTTAGCGGTGCTAGGTACTGCCATCTTCAACAAAAGTAAATTGGAGTAACTCCCTTATCATTAACGCTGTTCCAGGCTTCACCAGCTGAGAAATGGGCTTTGACTTTTCCTGATTGCTGATAGGCGTGATGCAGATGGCAGCAGTACATGCCAGCCTCTGTAGTCTTCCAGTTTCCGCTCCGCTGTTATCAGGTGAAGCCCCATGGAAGCGGTAAGGAGGTGGTGCCTGTCCCCGTTCAGTCTCTGGGCTCCTTGCGCAGGCTGCTGGTGGTGGTCCCAGCGTAACAGCTCTGGTTTTGGTGCGTTGGTGCTCTTCCACTAGGAACAGAACTAGCTACCACCTGCATCACCCTAACAACCAAAAAAATGACACAGAAGTTATATTTATTCCTCAGGATTTAATATAAATTGAAATATAAAAACCTGAAAGTGTCCTGTGTTAGTTAAAATCCCTAAATGTATTACAATCTTCCGAATTGTCTTTTTCAGTTTTCTTTAGAATATCACTAAGGCTGTCAAGGGTTTTCCTTAAATGATTAAACTGTTGACATTGAAGGCTCTAGCTTGTAAATTGCCTCCAGCCATAACTTAATCCTTCGTAGCTGAAATAAATTGTTATAGTTGGCTCAAATGAAGGATGTCAAGTTTTTCTGTAGATGAGATAACACTGGGAAACGGCGTTTTAACTGTATTTCATCCTTTGTCAGGATTCTCCTGTATGTTCCTTGGCAGCTCGTGCGCTGCCTCTCTCCAGCAGCTGCGTGGCTGGCTCGTATAGCTGTAGCTGTCCCCAGGTGATGATCAGGCAGGTTGGACTGTGGTGTTGGTAGTTCAAAATGGAAAGTAAATGGTAAATATTTCAAACCTTTTGCTTTGGAAGACGTACAAATTGGGTTTGGTTTCTAAAGCTTTTGGAAACTTGCTGCGCTCCAGCATGGCACTGTGAAGATCGCTTTTTCCATTCTTGGTTCACTAGAAAATATTTTTAAGGGGGAAAAAAAAAATGTGATTATGTGATATTTGAATGGATCTGACTTTGGTTTTTACAGACACACATGCACCCTGCCCCCATCTTGAAGCGATACGAGAATTTATACCCAGTGTGTTTAATCTGGGCTGTGTTTTGTGGTCTCACCAGTGCAAAGCTGACAGTGCCAATGACATGTGGCTTCAACTTACTGGGTATAAGAGCTTTCGGATTTTTAGAACAAAACTAAACTCAAATCTGCTGTGTTGTTTCTGGAAGACACCACAGAATTGCTGCTGAGATTACTAAGGAATCCTGTTTTATGACGATATATTTCACTGAAATCTATTGCTACATCTCTTGTGGTAGGATGATGGGGTTCCTAACGCGAGATCAATTTAAGATTTGCCCTGCTTCGACAGGGAATTTGCTGTATGCTCTCCAAAAAATGCTAACTAAGAAATGACTTTTAACCTTGCAAAAAAGATCACATATCCCTGAAACAAAGCATTTTCATAGAATTTGGAATGGATTTAGTCTTTGCTCATTTTTTTGATAAAATTCGATGCTTCTCATCAGTTGAGATTCTGTCCTTACTAAAAGTGTCCTCCAGGAGGAAATGGCGGTAGCATCTGTTGTCTCTAAATGTGATGCTTAGTTAGAAGTAATTAATTTTTTTTCCACTTAATCATCTCTTGCTTTGAAAAAAAGATTACTGAAACACATGCATCTTTTAAAATTTTGAATTGCCATACCAGCAAAATGAAGCTTTTATTACCCTGGAGGTGATAACTGCAGCATTTTAACTGGAGCTTTTTTATTCATTAAATGTGTTGGCAGCCTTTAAGAAAAAGGCTATTGGAGCAGTAGTTCTGAACACTGCTTAATAAAACAATCTTTTGGCCAATAATAGAGATACCCACATCATGAAGAGTTCTCTAGGGTCAACCAAGAAGTGCTTTTCCCATGTAAACTGCTTGCTCGCTTATTAGTCTGGTGGCAAGTTGCTCCGCTACCTGTTGGGGGAAAAAATGCTCCTCTCTTCATTATGCAGCAAATGTGCTAAGAGCTCAGATAAGCCTTAGTTTTGCCGTAGCTATGACAAAGGTTACGGTTTTGCTTCCTCTGTTCAAAAGCATCTGACTTGGGCAAATGATTCTATGAAATGCAGTGCATGGCACAGCAAGAGGCTGGGGTTCTTGCAATAGAATAAAAATTCTTATAAAAGCTAGTTTACCTTGGATTATGGACAGTTGAACGTACATTCTTATTTTTCATACTTTTCAATAAATTTTTTTAGGACTGCTTTAACTGTAAACACTTTGTCTCTGAACACAGTATTTTTCCAGTAATATAATACTCTTAGGAAAGTTTATTCACCAGAGTAATCCTTTCATAATTATCCAAATAACTAAAATGTATAGAATTGAACTATTACATTTCATCTCGGCTCTTACACCTATGCAGATGGGTTTCATGTCTGCATGAATTCCCGTCGAGAATCCTGAGTCTTAGTTTGTGAATAATTAAAATATTGTTCTGCCTTCCCTGCTGTGACCTATTGATTGCGGGCAAAGCACGGGGAGTTCAGGATTCCCGCTGAAGCCTGCTGCTCGTCCTGCCTGTCCCTGAGCCAGGATGGGATCAGGAGTACGCTGACCCGGTCCTTTAGGATGTGTTTGCAGCTCAAACTCTCACCAGTTATCAAAGAAATCATTCACAATAGATCGTGCGGATCTTCGCGGTAGGATCATCACTCTTTCTTTTCATTTCCCGGTGAACACCGAAACAATAGCGATGCTTAAATCTTTCCTGGGTTTTGGAGTCAACACAAATTGAAAAAAAAGAGGTTGCCTAGTACACTGTGGTGTTTTCAAAATCCCAGGATTAATTACAGTTGGCTAACATTTTGGTGGTTATGCTGGCACTCTCTTTAATGCTCGCAAAGCTTTCATTTAACTTCTTTAAACAAAACCGTATATTTGAGAGCACAAGGTGTGGTTTCTTGTGATAAATTACCGATGCCTTGCAAGTCAGCTCCTTTTCACCTCGGAGCCTTCTTTCTATTCAGTTTTGCCATAAGCAGGTGATTTCATCTGTCTGTTTACCCTTCTGTAAACTGCTTGCTCTACAAATTTAATATTCGAATGGCACTTTGAAATCTTGCTGTCTATGTGCAAGGTGCTAACGTTTGTTATGGAGATGCTGTCATGTGCAAATGCAGCAGCTGCAGGAGGACTGTCCCTTAGGAAAATCTGATCGGCGACACGCCATGCCTCGCTGACCCATTGCAAAGGGCCTTTTCGCTTTATTGTAGTAGCCGTTAAACTCTACCATTAAATTGTATATTTGTTGGACTTTTTAATTAGCTATGTATGTGGGTCATGCCTGGAAAGCAGCCTAAAGCGTGGCCTGCTCTCCCCTTCCAGTAAAATGAATAAATGAAGGCAGAAATGTTTTGTTAAAATGGCTTAATCCTCAGGCTGGTGTGGCCAGATTGAATAAAGAGGGCAGCTGGAAAGTCAGCTTGTTCTCACCCCGGCTGTATTAAACAAAGTTGCTGCTCCTGCGTGTCAGCCGGTTAAGACCATAATGTTTATCAGAAGAGTCTCAGCTAAAACGATGCTAAGAGAATATATTTTCTGGTTTGGGTTTGCTTTACCTTGAGCCCGTTTGACCCTAGGCACTGAGCAGCGGCTGAATGTCTAATCCAAACTGACAATTGTTAATGCTGGAAAACAAATGCCAAATGTAGTATAGGAGGGCTTTTTTTTTTTTTTTTTTTTTATTTTTTTAAAAAAAAACCCAGCCGAAAAAAGTAGCATGCCTGCCTCTGCAGCAGCAAAGTAGCTATGACAAAACTGTACTAAATGTGTCAGTACTCATACCGAATTTCCAAGCTATAACCAAAATGGTATAAGGGGGGGTTTTTTTTTTTTTTTTTTTTTTAATGCTTTAATGAAAACTATGCAGCCCCTGGCTCTCTGTGCCTTCGCTATGGATCAATCTCAGTCTAAACGTGAAAGATCAGTTGAACGAGTAGCGGACAAAGCCCAGCAGACCCCAGTCACTGTGTAGGCTCCTTTGCTGGCTCTAATGTAAGCAACCAGGCTATATCTTATACCTGCTCATGGCAATGAGAAGAACCTATTGGCGCATATAATTGCCGGGTGAGTATAAATGTTTGGAGCTTTCTGCAAAATAATTGGATTTTCTCTATACTTAACTGAATAAATAGTTTGTAAAAGCTAAAACACGATCTTCGCAATATTCGTGTCCTTCCTGGAATCTGTAAGTTTGAAGAGTCGGCCGTGCGGCACTGCAGTAGCTGTGATAAGCTTAAACAGGACTTCTATTTTTTAAAAATTCTGGCAGCACATTTTTATACATTTATTTGTATCAAAGCATGAATATAAAATTAGAGTGTATTAATACTTCATCGGAGGGAATGGGAAGGTTAGCCCAGTTTTCTGTGTGGTTGGTTTTGATAAGATGAAATAATGAGATAAGATGTTTGAGTTGCTAATGTTTACATTTTAATTGAGGATTCTATAGCCAGCATCAGAAAACTGAACTGGTGATCTGAGCAGTCTGTACTGTCTAGAAACATTTTTTTTTTTTTTTAGTGTTTCTTCGCTACCTGTAGTGGGATGGTGACTTTCAGCGTAAAATATAAGGCAATATTCAAAGGTCAAGGCTTACATTTATTAAATGGAGATTTTTTTTTGTTGTTTGAAATGCTCAGGTATTTTTCAGGTTATTTTCGTGCAAACTCTAGTTTAAGCTTCATGGGAACAACAGTTCACTGTGTTTGTTCTTGCAGTTCTTTAAGACTCTTAGCAAGTTGCTACTGTTTATATACAGTGTAGAGAGATTAACGTTTGAACTTCAGCTTCTAATTGTAGGGGTTTGTTTTTCTCAGATATAGATGACTTAAAATGTGCCCCATTTGGAAGCTATAACAGTGGGTCTGCAGTGAGCAGCCTGGCAAGCTATGACTGGCCCGACAAAGACGACATTCATCAGGGCAAGAAGCTCTCCTCCTTTGTCCAGTCTTCAGGAAGTGGATCCTCTGCGGCTACTTCTGTCCTTCAGAAGAAGGAGACCTTGTTTGGCAGTTCAGAAAACATTACCATGACAACAGTTTCCAAAGTGACAACCTTTTCTAGCGAGGATGCTTTACAGGATGTTTCCTTTGCAGCCTTTGCAAACTTTAAAGACTCTGGACCGATATCCAGCGGTCCAAGTGACGAGGACATTGCAGACTTTGGTGATTTTGCAAGACCTTCATCAGAAGCACAGGATGCAGCAGCAGCAGCAGCTGACACAAATCAAGAGGCAGACTTCCTTACTAGTGGTATCTCTTCTGAACTGCGAAGAGAATCTACAGATGACTTTGGAGAATTCCAGAGTGAAAAGCCAAAAATCAGCAAGTTTGACTTCTTGGTGGCAACTTCCCAAGGCAAGGTGAAATCTAGTGAAGAAATGATCAAGAGTGAACTGGCTACCTTTGACCTGTCTGTTCAAGGTAAGCCTGCTCAGGAGGCTCATAATGCATGTGCTTATCAAAGGCTAATTTTTCTAATCAAATTCTAAATTAGCCGATGGGCATTGTTCCAAAGGCTACTGGAAACAAGCTGAATCTTCTCATTGATTTCTATTGCGTTCGGAGCAGGTCTCGTTCTAGAAGAAAAAAATTTTCGTGCCAAAAAATTGTAAGAATTGAGGAACTGGGGAAATTTGCACCAGTCACGGAGTAAATAGAAGGCTTTGTTCTTCTGGTGTAGTAGTGCATCCCTTGCTACTACTTTATTCATTTTAAATAGTCCGTGCCTTTATGAGTAAAAGACTAACTTGTTTATATCCTAACTTTTTAGGGTCTCATAAAAGGAGCTTAAGCCTAGGTGACCGAGAAATAAGTCGCTCTTCACCTTTACCAGTTTTGGAACAGCCGTTCAGAGATCGTTCAAATACTCTAAGTGAGAAGCCTGCTTTGCCTGTCATCAGAGACAAATACAAAGACTTGACTGGGGAAGTTGAGGTAAGGAATTACCTGGAATTCAAGTAAATTGGCGATGGCTTTCATCAGTGTGATATTAAGAGTGTTCTGTATCGCAGCTCTTTGGGACTTTAGCTATTTGAATTTAGGGTATGATTCTAAGATGGCATCTGAGTAAGGTTAGATGTTTTAACTGGAAACTGCTCATAAAGGAGGTTTCTTCTTTCCTGTCTAAAGTCTTGTGAAGTGGGAAAAAAATGCTATTGTCTGAAAGTCAGTCGGAATCACTTGACCTTGCAGTCTGAGCTTGTAACTGGAAATTAGTTATGACACAAATCTAATCCCAGCTTTGGCACTGAGACCATTGGCTTTGGGAAATGGCTTAACTTTTTTGGCTGTGTGGTAGTTCTTTCTCTTGCTCATCTTGAGAATAGATGGTAAAAGGACTCATTAAATTCTGCTAATCCCTATTTCTAGAACAGCAGACCTGTAACAAATGTGTCAGGAGTAGGTACGTGTAATGCAAACTTTTTACCCATTCATATATGTTCTTCCTTTTGAAACCAGTTCTAACTCCCAGAAATCAAATTGTAGAGTTCAGGTGCAAAGAGAATATTTAAAGAATGGGGGGGAAATTAGGAATAGGTATGTTACAAGTTTACTTGCTAATCTGCAAATAGTCTCTTAAAATACCTGTCTCTACTGTATGTCTGTTGTGATAGGAGAAAGGGAAATGTGGGTAGGAACGAGATTCAGACTGCCCTTTTCTTTCAAATAGGAAAGTGAGAGGTATGCATATGAATGGCAAAGATGCTTGGAGAGTGCCCTGCAAGTAAGTATATAGTCTCCTCCAAAACCTTTTCCTCCTTCTGTAGGTGCCACCTCATTCAGTGTTTAAGACCATCTAGGCATAGAAAGGGTGTGAATCGGCCCAAGCGGATTACAATTTTTAAGCCAAAAGCTGTCACGCAGCAGAAGTGTTACCTCCTCAGTTAAAGATCCTATGCTAATCTCCCTGTCATTGGTGATTAGGTTGGCTTTTGCCTAAATTTGCCAGTTCACGAGTTAATTTGGTGTTCCTGTGTTTTGGGTGCCCAGTAAGGCATGTTGTTCGGGGCACTGATCCCAGCATCTGGCTCTTCAGCACTTCTTGAGAAACAGGCTTGTTTAATGTGCTGTGCGGAGGGGCCAGTCATTTTCTGGTGACGGCTGGCAGATGTTTCACAGCCAGATTACTTTTCCTTAAAATTTCTTCTTTGCATTTGAGTATTAGAGAGCCAGAACTGTGAATGCTATTATTAAACTAGATAGCAATGCATGCATACTCTTAAAACTATTATTTTGGTAATGAAAATATTTGGGGGAATACATTAAGGTTTTAAATGTTCATACTTTTCCCCTGATCTACTTATAGTTACAGCATGAATATACAAAACCATGTGATGGAGTACGGCAATTATTTCTTATTTAATTTGCCTCCTTTTTTGTGTAACAGTTTCTACTGGGGACAATCGCGTTTGTAATAATTATTTTAAGGTAGATAACACCATCATTTTATGAAATTCATTTCCACCAGGTCATAAAGAAAGCAAATGATACCTTAAATGGAATAAGTAGTTCATCCGTTTGCACTGAAGTTATCCAGTCTGCTCAAGGCATGGAATATTTACTAGGTATGTTTTCATTTACCGTGTCTTACATTGAAAGTTCTCCTCTGAAGAACAGTAGTATATAATCACTCTTTCTAAAATGGTATCATTTTTTAGCTTAATCTTTGCCTGCACCGAAATAATGAACAACTCTTCTGCTAAATAAATGTAACTACTACCTTGGAATAACCGTCCATGGCCACCTTTTGCGTGCCATGCCTGTTTTGTGCAGCTTCTGAGTTAAAAGTTTCAGGAACCTGTGCTTGCAGTGAATTCTCTGCAGTCCTCCGCTGTGTTTTATATCAACAGGGGTTGTCGAAGTCTACAGAGTAACCAAGAGAGTTGAACTGGGTATCAAAGCAACTGCTGTTTGCAGTGAGAAACTCCAGCAGCTGCTGAAGGATATTGATAAAGTGTGGAACAACCTAATAAGCTTCATGTCACTTGCTGCTTTAACGGTAAGACCAAAAATAAGCTATGTCTTTACTAAAAGAAATGTCATAATTATATGCAAAGTGATTTCACGGGGTGTCCTAACTTTACAGTTTGTGTTTTTCTCTTGCAAAATGGAAATGCACTTATTTGTGAAATCCAGTTTAAAGCTCTCTGTAAGAAAACCATTATTTATGTACAAACGTGATGTTATCTCACTTAGTGTCTTAATGATTTAGATGATATCCTGTGTGTCTGTGGACCTCTCCAATAAGGGACGTTTAATAAAATTTAAATAAGCCACTTTACGAAACCAGAATAGGGTGGACATATCTTGTCTTTGTAATATCCCTGCAATTAGTTTTAACGCTCACAATAGAGGAGCACACAGTGTAGCAACACAGGAATAACTAAACTGTTTTCCTTTCTCTCTGCATTTGGAAATGCCTAAGTTTGTTTTGGTTCCTGCTACAGACTAAATAGCTTTTCCTCCTCTGAATAGAACTGCCAGAAAAAGCTCAGTTGCTCTGAGACAGTCTGGTAGGAGCTGAGAGCTTTCTACATAACTGGGCGAGCGTTGCAAGGAGAGATGGTGAGGGGCTGCCTGAGGGGTGGCCTTTAAGAGAAGGAGCATCCCATGGGAAGGGTCTGCAAAGGAACTGGGAAAAAGAGGGGCACGTTGGGGCTGGGTACAGAATACACACAATTAGAAGGCAAGAAAATCACTTTGCCATTAAATATCTTGCACTTTTTTGTATATGTATGTTGCAGGAAATACAACGTGCAAAATGACTGACTTTAAGCACAGCAAAGCTCATATTTTTAGGGAATCATCTGTCTGTAGGCGCTTGATATCGTCTTGCATAATGGATCCCTTTAACTCAGTATATACCTAAGCAGTCTTTAACTCTTAATATCAGTACATGGCAGCAAGCACCAATAAGCAGATCATTACCATGGCTATATTTTCAGTGAACATTTTAATTTGTGGCTTCCTTCATGCGATGCAACTATGGCCACTAAAGATTTTTGCTCCCCAATAAACACTTGTTTATAAGAAGTAAGGCCCAGAGTACCTGGTTTCTGCTTGCAATAGCCATCTTCAACTCACTGTCATTCCCTGCAAAGCAGGTATTATAGATGATCAGTCCCTTTTTACCCACCTTTTACACATTTTAAACCTCTCCAGTACAAACAGTGGTGGCAAGCAGGTATTTTTGGCGATGGCCTGTGTCGCACAAAGCCTGTCATAATATGAAATTTATACTTTCAATATTTTACTGCTTGGCAGATGAAGTTGATAAACTGGGATTCATCTGTTTGAACTCTGGCATTGTTGAGAGTAACAATCTAAAAAGCTATCGGGATCCTCTCCTGCTTTAAGCAAGTGGATTAAAATTTAGTTCTTAAAGTGCTTTTCCTTGGAAGATTACAGGGATTACCTTGAAGTCCAAAGCTCGGCCACGTGTTCTCCGAGCTGCAGCGGCTCCGGGCTGGTAGCGGTCCTGCTAAATTTTAAGCCTACTAGGAGCTGTGAATAATGACTTCTCCTACACACACGGTACCTCTGAAGTTATCTAAGAGACAGGGACTCCTGCCTCCTGTAGCTCTCAAAATCATCCCTTTTTGTTTCTCTTCTCCGCCTGGGTCACTGGAAGGTGTGGAACCATGCCTTCTTCCCCCGGTGTTGCAGTCATGTATCCCAAATGATGCAGAAGTGCCAATTAAGCAGAGAGAAATATTCTAGCTCAGAGGCATGTGCTTGGAAAGGTTAATTTTATCTTTTAAGGGATTTTGTTACAAGGTAATTTTATGCACAGGCTTGTGGTTTTTCACTGCAAATTACAGGATGACCTTCTCATTTGCTTCACTCATGCATTCGGTAAACAAATATTAGAGTGCCTTTATTAATTTGATTGATCTACTTAAAGATTAAAGGGCTTTTTTTTCAGGATTCCAATTATTCTCCAGCCATTCGGCGGGGGAGCGTGATCAGCATACCTAGAGTATGGATTAAGAGTACACGTGTTCCATGATCACACCATTTTTTTTTAAACTTGCATTTCTAGTCGTTGTTTTTATTTGCACTACTATCTTCAGGCAAAACTTCCACAGTTTTATACCAACCTCATGCAAAGTTTTAAATTATAATTTATCTTGTGGCTGAAATGTAAGACTATGTACTGGAAAAATGACTATATTGATTTATTACTTATTTGCAGGCTTATTCTCCCATCCTTTGCCTCTCTTTAACCTGAGCTTCTGTATGGCTGGGGACCTTAATTCTTCTATGGTTTGGTTAACCTTAATATCCCATTTTGTACTGCTGTGCCGTATTCTAGCTTCAGAAAAACCTTCAGAAAGAATAACAACTGCCCTTTTTTGATCAGGCAATAATGGGGAATTCCGGACAATAACCACTGATACAGACGCCACTTCAGATGTTAACTAGCGAAAGCTGTGCTGGCCGATGGCTGGTTTCCTTGCAGCTGCACAAATAGTTGTTGCATACCACTGTTTATCTCCGTCCAGTTCTTAATACGCTGCAGTTGAAATGTAGCAGCAGCCGCCGCCTGGGCTCTTTCCTCAGAAGTTTCTTCCTCTTTTGATGTGGGAACGTGGAACTTAAGAATTCTTTCCTTTATAGTCTAACCCTTTTTCAAGAGCTTGAGTGTTATAAATTAATGCCGATGGAGATTGCATAGCAGGATTGCAAATACATACTAATGGCTTTGATTGAGTCACGCATCAGCTTACAAGAAAATGGAGGATGTCATCCCTGCCATGTTGCCGGTGTGATACCATGGCTCTCGGTAGCAACCAGATCGATAATTTTTATCATGATGTCTGAAACTTTTTCAGTCACTGAAAATGCCTAAATTTTATTGTCTCGTTTCTTTAGCCAGATGAAAACTCACTGGATTTCTCCTCTTGTATGCTGCGTCCAGGGATTAAAAATGCCCAAGATCTTGCCTGTGGAGTGTGCCTCCTAAACGTGGATTCAAGAAGTAAAGTAAGTATAATGGCCCCTGCTGTTTAAACTCATTTTTACTTTACAGTTTAGACTTTCATTTGGGCCTTGGGTCTATTTAAAAAAAAATCATGGCTGTAATTTGTCACTGGACGTGGCAAAGGCAAAAGCTGACGTATAGATGGGACTCAAATAGTCCATGTCCTATGTTCATTGGGCTTTGGGTATGACAGAGATGTGGATAAAGGGTTGAGTTAAATTGTTCATAATGGGGAAGAAACTGGGATACTAAGACTTTAAAAGTACATACGTATAACTTTTAATGACTTTTCTTTATGAAATGCATCTCTGAGGATCACCAGGAGGGGACTATTGCAATTAGCAGAGCTGGGAGGGAATCCCAGGATACGTACAGAGTAATGCCAACCACTTAACGTATATCGGCAGTTTTGCTGACTTTTTGGTTTCAACGTTATTTCAGAAAGAAGAGAAACCTGTGGAAGAGCTTCCTAGAAAAGTATGAATCTGTAAAAAGCATATTCTTTATAGATCATTCTTAGTTGAGTGTGGAAGGCTGAACTGCTAACTGGCCTTCAGCTGTCATTCTCAATTGTACCAATCATGAATCCTTTTCTTCTAGTCATTTTTTGTGACCTTAACACTTGATCTGATCAACTAACATGCTCTAGAGCCTCCCCTTTGTCTTGTCTGCATGCCTGTATCTTGTGAATAGCTTTCTGGTTTTGTGCTACTTCTGTTGTGTTGTAGAAAATTCACTGCAGTGAGTTTCTGAATTTGTAGCTGCCTGTGTGTCTGTTGCAGAAGGGGGGGAACTGTAGGGGTTTTTTTTGCTACAAATATTGACTTTTGTCTATATGTAGTAGGCAATGGCATTTTTAGAAATCTCTGCAGGAAATCCAGGGTGTGGGGAACAGGTTTAGAATATTTTTTTAAATAGGTAGCTGTGAAGCATTGGAAAATATCTCCTAGCAACAAACATCGAGATGTTTGAAGCTTGTTCATGGCTTCACACACTCTGTTCAGAAGCTCCTATTGTAAAGCAGATTCAATTAACAGAAGAAAGTAGATCAAATTCAGCCTGAAATAACACTAATATCAAGAATTGCACCTGCCTAAATCACAGCAAAATTTGACCAAGTGAAATAAATGCAGTAGCTAGCTACTGGCTGGCAGAGCAAGCATTTATCTGGCATGGGTGCGCAGCAGTAGAAGATGCATGAAGCGAGGTGCGTTAGTTGCCAGGTGTCAGATCAGGCAGCGGGCTAATCCGGTGGCTCCCGTAATACAGGGCGTGACAGGCAAAGGATGCATCAGGTGGGACGGCTGGAGGTTTTGTCCACCTGCAAACACTTTGCAGACTAAAATAAAATATTGTTTATTGGGTGGTCTGGTCCGAATGAGAGGGTCCTACCATGCCGTGCCATTCTGGGCTGATACCTGTGCAGTATCCATTTTCCACTCTAGTTTCTAGATCCTGGAGTAGATGAGACTGTCACACTTGTTTCTATTCTTGTTATTTTAGGCCTTTAATTCGGAAACAGATAACTTTAAGCTGGCGTATGGAGGGCACCAATACCATGCAAGCTGTGCAAATTTCTGGATCAACTGTGTGGAGCCAAAACCTCCAGGTCTCATTTTGCCAGACCTGCTCTGAAAGCAGTTGCACTGAAGATGGAGTATGGGGTCTAATAACGCAGGACACTTGGGGTAAATGGTGTGATAGGAAAGGCTTGAGGTGTGGTTAGTGTTTGACATGTTTCTGTTTGATTTTTGTACCACAACGAGTTAAAGCCACTGTCACGTACAAATTGCTCATGAAGAATTTCACTTGAAATGGCCAGGGTTTCAGAAATAACCAGAAAAAAAATGTAGTGTGGCAAAAAATGCGGCATTTCAGTCTTTCTCAAGATGAAAGCGGGTTAGTCTTCGTAAAAAGCAGTCTGCTAACCAAGTGCATAAACCTCTGAGAGAGGCCAGTACCTAGCTTCCAAGAAAAACTGAAATGTTAGATGGATTTGCATAAAGTCACCACTTAAATACTTGAAGTATGTATTTGCAAACAAATCTTTTCTTTAATGTTTTTGGTATATGGACCATGATGTATTTTCTTTAAATATTTGCTGCTATAATATTACAATGCATACAATGCACGAGTCACAGTAACTTTCGAGGCAAAATGAATTATTGACTTAGAAGGAATGAGGTTGCGGGGAGCCATTGTATATTTATATTTCCACTGTTCTGTATTGTAAATTATACTGTATTCACATGCATAACTGGTTAGTACTGGGGGATAAGGACTTGAAAAAATTGTTGAAATTTTCCCTATAATATCTGGATTCTTTAGTACAAGCAGCTGGATTTTAAAGCTTGTAGTCTTTGCTACTCTGTTGTAAATACAAACTCCTTCCTTGGACTTGTCCTGAACTGCATTTGTTACGTTTCACCTGGCCCTTTGGTAGTCGTGTGGCTGCATCCCTGTCAAAAATTGAACTCCACTGATACAGAGCGTCTGCTCCTGTAGATATATATTTTACCTTTTCTGTACGTTAATATGCTTTTCTTGATGGGATGCCTGCGTGTAACTTGTGCGGTCGAGTGCTCTCTGTAGGAACGTGTTTCTCTGGCTCGGAACCGGCAGCACAAGATGGCCCTTAGCTCCTGCTACAGGCGGGGGTGATGTAAGCCTGAAAGTTGCTCCTCTCAAGCAAGCTGTTTTTTGAAGCAGGCTATCGCACACCTGCCGATTCCCTGCTTGTGGTAGGTACACCTATCGGGACAGAAGGAGGTTGGTATAACAGACGATCACAAAATATTACCTGTGCATCCAAAGTACCTGATTCTCTCTTCAGATGCAATATCCAGACGACAGCGCAATCAGCTTCAGCGCTAGTGACAGAATTTTAAACCTAGTGGGAGCTTCATGGCATTACTATACGAGCCGTATCGCTATACAGGCTGCAGTGAATGAAGAGGGGTGTGTATCCGTCGGGTACAACTTGTTTCTTAATTCTTTATTTTCTCAGATCTCTAGAAAATCTCCCTCCTCTCCAAAAGATATCAACAGCTTTTCCAAGTTAATCTTGCCTCCGTTATGAGTAGCTGATATTGACCAGTGGTTATTTGCTGAAAGAGGAATTACAATGAGGAAAAATGATGCTTCATATTAAAAAAAAAAAAAAAAGGCTCAGTTATACTAAACTATTAATTATACCAAATGAAACAGTCTTGGCTCATAGGAGTACTAGGTGTCTGGCCCCTTATTTACACAAATTAAAATTAGTCTTCCTGCTGCCTGAAATTAGCTCATTCATAAAAAAAGCGACTTGTGCCTCCAGTCGCAAGCTCAAGCTAATCAAGTGGCAGATTTTCAGTAGCGTGACAGTGACTGCCTGCCTTCTGTTGCCCAGTAATTAGCAAAAAAAGGGCCATCAGTCATTGCTCGCTATTTCATTTCTCAGGTGTGAAATAGTTGCAGCAGCCAGCACCATAGCTTTTGACCACATACGTTGTTTTCCATCGTCGTGAGGGGCTGCCGCATACGTCCCCAGTGCAAGCATTCCTGTTGGGGTCTACGCCGCGCAGTAAGCCAGCGCTCGCTTTCGCGTGCTGAATTACAGCAGCGCTTCAGCGTTGCCTGACTTGAAGCAAATGCCTCGTCTTGCTGCTAGCAAGGGGACTTCTCAAGTGGTTTTGAGTGTCTGCCTGACGCAAAGGCTGTTGCTTATGAAACGCTATATTGGGAAAAGGGAGTTTACTGTTAGCGTGGGTTTCCACCACAGTTCCTGAACACTTAGCTAGGTAGGATTTTTTTTCTAATTAAAAGAGAATGCCACAAATAAAAGAGGCTACAATGTGAAACTTACAGCAACGAGTATTTCAAATACAGTACTAGCTATACTGTCATAAAAGCATTTTTCAGTGATGGTTTTTTTGTACTTGTTAATGTACTCCTTAAGCAAGTAAGTCCCCTCTCTGAGAGGTACCCAGCGTCTCTTTTGGCCCATAAAAATACGGAATTGACATTCACGATTATAATTGCAGCAGAGCTTACTGAAGTATGACACTACTGCTCGCTTGCTCCCTACAGAAGGAAAGCAGCAGGCAATATTACTGCGTTCGTGGCAAGCAGAAAGCGTTCTTCTGAACCGAACACCTTTACGTCATGGGAATATACCAAATGTTTTCCATGTAGATACCCTTGATAAAGGCATTGCACAATGAGGATCATCTCACACATCCTAGTCGTTAAAATGACTCACTGTTGCATTCAGCGTCTTCTCAGATATTACGCTGCCAGCCAAAGCCCGGTGTCCTTGCAATCTGTATCCAAGGTTACAGTATTTTCTACAGTGCATTGTAACAGACCACGTTCCCCTGCTTCCTTTGCATACAGGCTAATGGACGCGCTGCCTTTTGCTTTGGTTCGGTTGAATTTTATAAACGTAACTCCTTTTTCTGCATGTATTCTTTCACTAGAAAAAAGTGAGCAATGTGGTTTTCTTTTTTTTTTTTTCCTTTTTTTTTAAAGTATGTGTTCTCTGGAGCTGCCTTGGGGTTACCTATGGAAAGTGATTTTTCTATATATTTGTGTATATTTGGAATTTTAACAGATTATTTGCTCGGTTATTTAATGTATATATCACTTTGCCTGGTTGCATTCCTGATGCTTCAGTGCTGTCTTCGTGTGTTGCAGTTTTTCCTTGGTGGCAGGAGTGCTGGGGAGCCAAGAGACTGCTCCAGCCTCTTCCCCTGCCCGTCCGCGGCCGTGGTTGGGTCTGAGTTGCCTCCCCGGGCTCGCCGACCCGCGCTGGCTGTAGCCGCTTGGAGGTTGGTTGTGGCACGGGAATTGGTAGGTTCTGCACTTGACCCTTCGCTGACTTTTCCACTCTGGCAGCAGCTTCTCTTCACCTGGGTTGGTTTTGAGCAGCTCCTTCCCTGAAAATCACGCAGTAGATAAGCGAAGCGATAGTGAAGTTCGACCTAAGGTTGAGAAGAAGCTCCTGAAAACCCAAGGAATGCTCCGATTTCTAGTTAGCCACATATCAGACGAATTAAACTTGAAACAAAACCTGCCTTTTCAATAAAAGCTGCTCTTGTACAAACTACTTTTTCTGAAAGATTTTTTTCGCTCTCCGGGCCTGTATTTAATTCCAATTCTCAATATTAAAATACAAATGTCATAATTTTATGAAGAAAAGCGGTCAGAAACCTTCTCTTTATATCGTGACTCTTTTTTCTTCCTTCTGGGTGCATGTTATTTGTCTTCTAGAAGCGGTTTTGCGATGAGTAGTTGGAGCTGTTTCGGTTTGTGCTATGCTGGAGTCACTGCTGATATTTTAAATCCAATAAGTGTTATTAATTGACTTTAGTACATTGTTTACTCCCTTAATTCTTGCAATGCTTTATAAATCCTTTGTTGAGATTCAAACCTCGTTTTCAATAAAGAGCTCATTTCATATCTGACCAACCTGCAAAGTGGCTTGTTCTAGGATGCGGCCAGTAAAAAACGTCGCTTTTGCCGCCGGCTGGTAGCCAAAGGCTGTCACCTCTGGCAGGAGCTCGGCGGGCGCTGGCCTGGGGGGCTCCTCCGCAGAAATACGTGGGCAGGGGGGAATCATCCCGTGACTCGGGAGAAGCCTTGAAAGGTTGAAAAAAAGGGCCTCAAACATAACGAAGCTGTGTAAGTGAAACCTCCTTTGTGGCTGGTATTTGAACGATGTCTCGGTGAATAACATATAAACTATCCTGCAAGCGCTTCAGACAGCGTCCATTTGGAAAAGCCCCTGGGGAGCGGGAAGGGTGATCTTCCCCTCAGACCCAGCTGGTGTGCTCACAGCAATCCGGAGTGACGCTGTGCCCCTGGCTCTGCTTCGGTTTCTATAGATTTGAGGATGTGTGGAAAACTGGGTTTTGAGGGGAGGGAAACCCGACGCTCGTGTAAAATATCTTCTCCTAGAATGCACACAAGAGGAACTTGTGCAAAGAAATACCTACGAGTATTAATGCCATTGTACTGCTCCATCATATAGTCTCTAGTGGGTATTTCAGGTGAATTCTTTATTTCATCATGTGCTTTATTAGGTAATTACATTTTTTTATAGGTCTAACTTTCCTTTTTGTTTAAAAGTCAGTCTTGATGCTTTCTTGGCTGAACATTAGCATCTTCCCCTCCCCTAGGTACCAGGGCAGTCTGTGTATGCAGTATATATAATTATTCACAATGGAGAATTTTTACCTTCCAGTTTTGATATAGAAAATACTGTTAAGTTATACGTAGCCCATTTTTTAGGTGAAGTTTAATTTTGAAAGCAGATTTCAGGTTTTGGTATTTTTTTCCCCTTTGAAATGTCATGCTTTCAGAATGTCTCCAGACCAATGATTAAGTCTTGATTTTTAATCGCTAGTTCCTTTCCTTACTTACTATTTCCCTAGTGCGGTTTAACTCATGATGAAAATAGTGATGAGTGTATTTTTTTAAATGGCTAGTCAGCCTCCTCTGTCTGCTTGTTTGTCACCGAAACCGGGGCCAAGGGACGCAACCGTGAAACCTGAACTGCACGCAGCCGGTGGCAAAACTCCCTTTTATTTCAGCGGGCCAAGACTTGATTCTTGCTCCTCTGCAAAAGCAGGAGGCGGCCTCCCTCTGCCAGCGCGGGACTGCGCTTTGTACTCGTGGTACCAAAGGACACCGAGATCCGTGCGGTGATGTTGTTGGAAAAAATGGTGTTGAAGTATTTGGGGGGGGTTATGTGCGGTTTTGTGTAAGCGCATCCTGATGACGGATAAAAGAAGGGTTTGTGGGGGGAACGGGCTATGTAAAAGCCCGTACAGGATACGTCGTTTGGGCTTTGGATGCCCCTGAGGGTGCGCGGTCTCCTTTGGCGGGAACGCGGTGCGTTGAACCCGTGGCCAGTCCTGGCTGCCGTGCCCAAAGGGGCGCAGAGCGCGCCCGTGTGCCGCCGGGCCCCCCCAGGTGGCCTTGGGCCTAATTTAAAGTAGTGAATGCCTAGAGCTGGCCTCGCTGGCCCGCTAACTGGAGCCTAGGAATTACGAGCACCGTTTCCTTCCCCCGGGGAGTAACTTTAAGCAAGTGGCATTTGCCCAGCCTGGTAAAACTCTTGTCTCTGCAGTAAATGTGAAACCTGACTCCTGGGTCGGAGCTGATCGAAGCCTCTGTATCAAACTCACTCTGATCTAGCCTTTTATTCCAACCAGGTCTGGTTTTACCCCTGATCCAAATGAGGTTGAGGCCATTGGGGCAGTTTTGTACCGGTGAGAACTGTATTTCAGCCCCAGTGGCTTTTAGTCTGTGGAAACCAGAAACCCACTTGTGCTGCAATCCCCACGCAGCATGGTTCAGCTTGGAGAAACCCTTTGACCCTGTCTACTGTTCCTCAAAACCTCAGCCGTTCAGCTAGGGCTTCGGAAGATAAAAATTTTGAGGTAGCCCAATTAATTGCCTGGCTTTTGTGATGAGGACCGGGAACTGCGGGACACCTGGATGGATTGGACACTGATGAGCCAAGCGATGGGAACAGATCGCAGTGTTTTTCTCAAGACTGAGGTCCGGATTTGTTTCAAGCCACTGCTCGGTATTACACCGTGTTCTCGCTGTTACTTGAGATGCATTAGGACAGTTCTGAATAGGAAACCAACACATGTTCTTGTTTAATCTTTATTGATTTTTTTTTTTTACAAGTATAGAATCTCATTTAAATCGGATAGCTATCTCGGCATCCAGCAATCTGCATATTCCTCCTTCAGAGATGAAACAGAGGACACAAATGTCTCATCGAGGAACGGACTTGCCTTGCTCTCCTGGTGCTCCAGTTACGCTCTACCGAAACCAGTCCCTTCCCATCCGCAGGGAGGGGAGCGACGCCCAGGAGGCCACGGCTACGCCACGGAGAGGCTTCTCCCACGTCTCAGGTTGGAATCATTCTCGTCACGTACAGAACAAGGCAAAGCCTTCTCCGTAAAGCCATCCTTGTCCGGGAGGTCGAACAGATCGCCATTTTGCGCAGAATAATTCTAGAATGCAACATAACCTTGAGGACATAATGAAGTGATTTAGAAATGGGCTAAGGCAGATCACGACCATACTTAGAGCTAAGTAATCAAGCGGTTTTACCTACTTCCAATTTACTGCTTGATTGAATGTTAGAAAACACAGCCCGGCCCCTCGGGAAGGTGGCCGTGCACACAGTTTCCTAAATGTTTCTTTGGCTGTCCAGTGCAGGGAGGGTTAACCTCTCGCCTCTGTCGTGAGCCACCTTGGGACAAGATCTCGGTTTGCTTTCCACCCACAAAACACACCAGTGTTTTTCAGTAGTGTAAGTGTATTCCAGGAGTATTGCCCTGGCATGGAATGAGTGAAAAAGGATCTTGTATTTACTTGATTTGAATAATTCAAATTTTATTTTACTTGTGGCCGACATGGACTGACTTTGCTTTTTTTTTTTTTTTTTTTTTTTTTTGACTTTTAATACAGATTAAGAGCTGACTAAAGATCTCAAACACTATATACTGAGAGTCACTACAGATGTTAAAGAAAACACCAGCACTAGCACCACAACCCTGCACGCCTGCCTTCCCGGCTCTTGGAAAAACCCACTGCCTCGGAGTAGGACCTCGCTCGCGCTGTGCTAGTGCCGCTCCCTAGCCACTACAGGATTTTGCAAGGAAGCAAACAAGCTATTAACGAAATATCCAGGCTACCGCATCACAAAGCGCACTTTGTTTATTAACTCCGCCAAATGCCTTTTAGGCCTTTCCTCATAGGATACTAATAAACTGACTAAAAAAGGGAGGGAGCCTTTAAGAAAGGGATCAACTTATAAGGAGACCTCATTCTGCTAAATCAGAGAAATGCGGATGGGGGAATCCCTGTAGAGAGAAATGCTTTGAAGGGAATCGTTGGCCTTGCAGGTTAGTGAGGTGAGAATTAGTTGAGGTTCTGCTGTATGGTAAAGAACCAAAGTTGGCTGTAGAAGGAGAAGGGAATGTCTCCAGTCTGGTCGACTCAGAACAGCGCGTCCCTTCTGTTGTGCTTCCTGTCTGCAGTCACATTAAATTCCCCAGTAAGGCATCAGGGGTCTCCTCTCTCTCTCATAAACGTCTGGGATGATGCCATATGGTGTCTGTACCATTTTAACTGTCGTCTTCCCAAAGAGCTTCCTCTCGTAGTCTATCAGTTGCCTCCAGAAGCCCACGTTGGGGCGTATAACGGGGCGTCTCGATTTGACCCAGTTGTATGCCTCAAAGAGGGACACCTTGTGGTACTTCATCAGGTAGGCGATGCAGAGGGTGGCCGACCTGCTCACGCCGGCGGCGCAATGGACTAAGGTGGCCCCGTGCTTCCGCGCCACGCTGTTGATCTTGTCGGCGACGCTGTCGAAGTACAGGGAGATGGGGGCATTGGGCATGTCAGCCAAAGGCACTTTCACGTATTCAAACTGGGGCCAGTTAAAATTGGGAATCTCGATGGTCGCATTGATTATGCAGGTGATTCCCCGGGAGAGGAGCAGGTGCCGGTTGGAGGCGACGCTGCCCCGGCTCAGGTACAGCGAGGGGGTGATTTGGGCGATGCCCCCGAGGGCACCTTCGGAAAGCATTCGTGGAGCCATCAGAGTTCTCGGTAAGGAGTTGTGGCTTCTGGAGGTCATGGAGGATCTTGGCACTCACGCTTCCATTATGGGAAGAGATCCAACGGGATCTTCAGCCAAGGGAAGGATTGTCTGGCCTGGTGGTGCTAGGACGGCAAGAGCTTCCGCCGCTTAGTCACTGCAAAACACAAGCAACGCCACATGAGCGGGGCAGCTGTCCGATGAGACCATGTCTACGCAAGAGAACAGGAAAACCCAACTCACCCTGCTGTGGCCTGGACAAACTCCTACTGGCAACCCTCCGTGGGGTAAGGTGGTTCTGGGTTTGCACAGCACTTATTACCACGGGGCCCCCAGGCACTGCCTGGACAGATATTAACAAAAAAGTCTCCTAGCCCAATTAGCTCCAATTACTCGTCGAGGGTTTGGGCAGCCTACCTGTGGGCCTGGACAGCATTTCACCCGGATTAGCACGTGGAAGATTAGCTACGCCTTTTCCCTGCTCAAAAGCAGCAACTTCACAACTGGCCAGGGTCCAAGGGGACAGTGAGAAACAGCTCACTGGGGCTGGATGCAGATGCCAGCAATTTAGATTACCCTGCCCTCTCCCCAATGCCACCCTTCTCCTTTTTTAGGTGTATGAAAGGCCCCGCCAAAGTACATAAACAGAGGAAAGTTGCTCATTAGAAAAGGCAGTGAGTCACGTCCATCCAGATTGGTAATCGGCTCTCATCTAGGCTGGGGAAGTGTGGAAAGAGCGACCTGGTTATC